TGTTCGCGGGTCGTTCTGCTTTGCCGGTTTCGCCCCTGCTCCTTCCGCCGGTTCCCCTCCGGCCCCTTGTTCCGCCTTCTCCTTCCTCTCCCTGCTCCGGTTCCCTGGCCTTCTCGCGCCGTCGCGGGCCGCGCCCCGCCCCGTCGCCGCGCTCCGCCCCTTTCCCCGGCTCCTTCCCTCGGTCGGCGCGCCGGGCGGTGTGTCCCCGGGCCGGGCCGTCGTCCCCGCGCGCTGCTGCCTCGCGCTTCCTCGGCCTTCCTCGTTGCCGCCCCCCCTTGCCCTGCTCTCTCCCCCTCCCGCTGCCCTTTCCCCGCTTCCCCGGGCCTGTCGGCCCCGGCTCTCCGCTCGTTGCCTCCCTCCGTGTCGCGCGCGTGCGGCCCCGCCCTCTCCGGGCCTCCCCGCCCTGTTCTTGCCTCCCCCTTCCGCGGCCTCCCCGGCCGTCGTCCCTCTCCGCCGCTGGCCGCGCCGGGCTCCTCCGCCTCGCTCGTTCGCCGGCTGCGGTCTCGTTCGTTCCCGGCCTTCCCCCGCCCCTCGCTCCCCCCCTCCGCCCGGCCCTGCCCCCCCCCCTCGCCTCCCGCCCGCGCTCTCCCGTCTGTCCCTCCTTCCTCTGTCTGGCCCTGGTCCGTTTCCCCGTGTTGCGTCCCCTTCCGCCGCCGGCTCCCCTCCTGGTGGTGCCCTTCCGTCCCTTCCTTTCCGTTTCCGCCTTGCGCCCTCCTCCCCCGGCCCCCCCCCCTTTGCTTTCTCCTCCGGTGCCGGCGGCGTCCTCCCCGCCCCCTCCGCCGCTCCCTGGTCGGCCTCGTTTCTGGTTGCGCCTCGGCCGGTCTCTGCTCGTCTTCGCGCCCCCCCTTTCGTCTTTGCTTCCTGCCCCTCCTTGGCCCCTGCTTTCGCCTTGTTCGTCTTTCCTCCCTCCCCGCCTTTCCCCTCTGCCTCTGCCTCCGCCTGCCCCCGCCTGTCCCTGTTCTCCTTCTCCGCTCCCGCCGGCCCCGTCCTCGGCCGCCCTCCTCTCCTGTTTTCCCTGCTCCTGTCTCCCGCGCGTCGGCTTGCTTTGCGCCCTCTCCTTTCTTCCCCGTCCCCCGCGCCGGCGGCCCGCCCCGGCCCCTTCAGGCCCGGCGCGCCTCGCCGCCCGCCGGGCCGCGCCGCCCGGTGCCCCCTCGGGCGGCCCGGCCGGCCTCCCCCGTCCCCCTCCGCGCTTTTTCCCTGCCCCCTTCCCTCTCCGCTCTTGGCGCTGGCCTTCCCGCGGCTGCTGGCCCGCCTTGCCCTCCCCTGGCTCCTCGTTCCGGGCTTTCGCTTGTCCTCCTTCCCCTTCCCCGCCTCCTCGCGCCCGGTCTTGTTCTTTCTTGTCCCTCCCTCCCCGTGTCCGGCTGGGTCCTTTGCGCGCCTGCTGCCTTCCTTGGCTGTGGTCGCCGTTTCTCCGGCTCCCTCTCCGGCCTCGCCCCCTCCTTCTCCGTCCCCCGTCCCCCCTGGTCGGCCCCTCTCCTCCCCTCGCCGTTGCTCGGGCCGCCTTTGCCTGCTGCGTCGCCGGCCCGCTGGCCGTGCGCTCCGTCGCGTTCTCCTGCCTCCTCGCCGCCCCGGGCCGGCCCGCGTCGCCCTTTTCTCTCCTCCTGCCTCCCTTCCCGCCGTCGGGGTTTGTTGCCCGTCTTCGCTCTCGCCTTCTCCGGTTCTCCGCGTCGTCGCTCCCTCCCCCCTCTCCCTGCTTTCACTGCGCCCTTCGCGTTTCCCCGTCTGCCTTTGTTCCTCCTTCCCCCTGCCTGGCTTCCTCTTTGCGCCCGCTCTGCCTCCTGGCCGGCTCCCCCCGGTCGCCTTCCTCCCGCCGCCGCGCGCCGCTGCGCCCGCCGCGCCCGTCCGGGCCCGGCGGGTTCCGGCGTGCGCGGCCGTCCTTCGCCCGGAGCCTTCGTTTTGGGCCGCTGGCGCCGGTGCGGCCCCCTGCCCCCTGCGTCTCCCGCCTCCGCGCCTTCCCGCCGCCGCTCGCGGCCCCCGCCCTCGCCCGCCGCCGCGCGGACGGCGTGGGCCGCCCGCGCGGCTTTTGGGTTCCCCCCGCCCCTGGCCTGCGGGGGCGCCCGGCGCCCGCTTGCCCGTGCGTCCTGCCTCGGCCTTCGGTCTGCCGCCCCGGTACCCCGTCCGCCCGCCTCGCTTGCGCTTGCTCCGCGCCCGCCCTGGCCTGCGGGTTCGGCCGTCGCTGCTCGCCGCCGGGCTCCCCCTCCCCCCCGCCGCTTCCCCTCCTGCGCCGTCCGTGCACTCGCTTCGTCGTGCCCGCCCCCCCCCCCCGCCGCCCGCCTGCGACTGTCGTGCGCCGCCGCCGCTGCCTTCGTTGCCGGCCCTGCTCTCCCCGCCGTTGCGCGCCGCCCCGGGGGTTGCGCCTTTCTCCCTGTCACGGTGTTGGCGGCCGCCTCCGTTCTTGCCCGCGCCCCCCCCGCCCGGTCCCGCTCTCGCGTCCGCCGTCCTTGGCCGTGCGTGCCTCGTGCTTGCCGCGCCTCCGCCGCCGTCGCCCGGCGCGCCGCGCCTGCCCTCCCCTTGCCCCTCGCCCGCACCCGCCCTGCCGTTCCCCCCCCCGCGTCTCGCCCGGTCGCGCCCCTGCCCTCGGCGGCCCCTGGTCGCCCCCGCGCGGTCGTCGGCTGTTTTTGTCGGCGGTCGTCGCCTGTTTTTGTCCGCGCCCGCGCCGTCGCCCGGCCCCGCCCTGCCTGCCCTCCCCGCCCCGCCCCCCGCCCCCCTCGCCCCCGCCCCGCCCCCTCAGCCCCCCGCCCGCCCCTGCCCTCCGCCTGCCGTCGCCTCCGTCTGCCTCCCCCCTCTCCCCCTTCTCTCTGCTTCCCCACCCCCCCCTGTGCCAGGCGTCGCCCGCTTTTTCCCGCGCCTCCTCCTGCCTGTCCCCCCCCTTGCACGTTCTCCGGTCCCCCCCCTTCGCTTCCCCCTGCTTTTTCTCTCTACCCCTAGTTTTTCCACCCATTTTTTTTCCTTTTTCTTTTTTTCGGCCATTTCCGCACTATTCGTCTACTCATCCTCCTCGGACCCTTCCCCCCTCTCCATTCCCCCACCTTCCCCCTCACTATCGTCCCCTTCGCTCTCCCCTTTCGTCCTTTTCCTTTTTCCCTGTTCGTCCAACCTCATCCCCGTCACTACTGCGTTTGGTCCGCAACGCCCGCGTGCGGCGGCCCGTTGAGCATGTGCTGGACTACGCTGACACTATTTGTTATGCATGCGGGTGTTTCACCGCTCTTTTGCTTTTGGGCCTGCTGGCCCTCCGCCGTTGTCGCCCCCTGTTGCGCCGCCCCGGCCGTGCGGGCCGTCCCCGGCCGCCGTCGGCTGCCCGTTGTGTGCGTCCCCGGGCGATGCGGCGTCCCGCCGACGTCGGCTGCCCGTTGTGTGCGTCCAGGGCGATGCGGCCAGGCCCGGCCGACGTCGGCTGACCGTTGTGTGCAGTCCCCGGGGTGCGGCGGCCCCGGCCGCCGTCGGCTGCCCGTTGTGTGCAGTCCCCGGGCGCTGCGGCCGTCCCCGGCCGACGTTGGCTGCCCGTTGTGTGCGTCCCCGGGGCTGCGGGCCGTCCCGCCGCCGTTGGCTGCCCGTTGTGTGCGTCCCCGGGCGGTGCGGCCCGGCCCCGGCCGACGTCGCCTGCCGTGTGGGCAGGCCCCGCCCGCCGTCGCCTGCGCGATGTGGGCGGCCACGGCCGCCACTTGGCTGGCGATGTGTGCCGCCAGGGCGATGTGGGCCGGCCCCGGCCGACGTCGCCTGCGCGCTGTGTGCCGCCCGGGCGCTGTGGGCCGGCCACGGCCGCCGTCGGCTGCGCGATGTGTGCCGACCGGGCGATGTGGGCGCCCCGCTTGCCGTCGCCTGGCGATGTGTGCACGCCGGGCGCTGCGGTCCGGCCACGCCCGCTGCGAGCCTGCCCACGTCCGACGTCGGCTGACCGTTGTGTGCCGCCAGGGCAATGCGGCCAGGCCGCCCGCCGTCGGCTGCTCGTTGTGTGCAAGCCCGGGCGATGCGGGCCGGCCACGCCAGATGCGGGCCTGCCCGTCCGACGTCGGCTGACCGTTGTGTGCAAGCCAAGGGCCTGCGGGCAAGCCCGCCCGCGCGTCGGCTGCGCCTTGTGCCAGGCCCGTTTGATGCGTGCCCCCTTGGCTGATGTTGCCCGTCGTTGGCCGACGCCGCTTGCCCGCTGCGCCGTGCCACGTCCGCTGCGTGCAGGCCTTGGCTGCTGCCGCCTGCCGTTGGCCGCGTCGCTTGCCCGCTGCCCCCTCCCCGTCCGCTGCGCGCCGGCCTTGGCTGCTGCTGCCTGGCCCCGGCCGTGGCCGCCCCTGCTGCCTCCTCGCCCCTGCCCCTTGGCCTCTTCCTTGGCTTTCGCCTCGCCCCCGCCTCCCCCCCCCTCTTCTCGCGCCCTCGTTCTTGTGCCCTTCCCGTCTCCTTCGGCCTGCGCCTGCCCTCGACCGTCCCGCCCCTCCCCTGGCGCCTCGTTCTTGCCCCCTTTTTGCTCCTCCTCGCCCCTTAGTTCCCCTCTGTTCCCCCTTGGCGGCCCCCTCGTCTTTCCCGCCCCTGTTCTTCTCGGCCTTATTTTTCCCCCCTTGGTGCCTTTTTTCCTTCCCGGCTGCCGCCTCCTCCCTCCCTTTTGGCCGTGTCGCCTGCTTGGCTTTGCGGTTGGGGGCGGGGGCCCGTGGGGGGGCCGCTCGGCGCGCCCCCGGGCTGCCTCTCCGTGGCTCGTGGCCGCCCGGCCCCTCTGCCCTTCCATCCCCCGTCGCGTCTTTCAGTCGTCTGCCCGGCTTCTCCCCGCGCTCGCTGGCCTTGTCCTTCCGGCGGTCCCGCGCCGCTTCCGTCGCGGCGCCTTCGCCCCCGCCCCGTGCCCTTGGGGGCCCCGGCCCCTCCTGCGGGTCGGCCGCGGCCGGCGGGCGCCTGCGTCGCTTCTCGCCCGGCTTCTGCCTTCGCGGCGTTCCGTCCTCCTCCGCCCCCGGTCGCTTCGCGCCCCTGGCTTTTCCCCCAGCGCGCTGCCCCCTTGTGTGACTCCCGGTTCCTCTCGTCCTCGGTTGCCTTCCTCTTGCGCCCCTGTCCTCCGTGGGTCACCTCCCTGTCTCCCGCCGGTCTCCCCCCGCTCCCGTTCCCTCTTGGTGGGTGCACCCTCCCCCCTTGGTGCTTCTGCTTCCCCCTGCTAGGACAGCGCCGCCATCGCGGCTCCCCCGCCCGTCGCTCTGCCCGCTTGGCTGCCCCCGCCGTTTCCCTGTGGTCCTTTTCTGCCCCTCTCGCTTCGCCTTCCGCGGTCTCCGGCTCGTTCGGCCCCGCTTTCCCGGTTCGTCTTCGTCCTGGCATCGCCTCCCCCGGCTTTTCCCTTCTGTTCCCCCGCTTTCTGTTCTCGTTGCGTCCTCTTCGGCCCCCTGCGTTCTCTTTTCCCGCTGTGCCGCCCCGCCCCCTCCCCCTGCCTGTCTTCCGCCCGGTCGGCCCGGCCGCGCGCCTTGGGTCCCCCGCGGGGCCGTGCCCCGCTTCCGTTCCCGGCCTCGTCCCTCCCGTTCCCGTCGTGGTCTTTCCTTTCGCTTTCGGCTCCCCCTTCTCCCCCTCTCCCGTCCTTTCCCCCCGTCGGCCTCGCGTCCCGCTCCCCGGGTCTTCTTTCCCCGCTGCTTCTGCCCGCCCGTTCCTTGGCTGTGGTTTCGCTGGCTAGTCGCCCGGGCCCGTGGGCCTCTCGTTCTCCCTTCCTGCGCGTCCCTCTTCGCTGCGCGGCTTTGGCTACCTTAGCGCGTCCTCGTTCTCCGCCGTTTCCCCGCGCTTGGTTGCTTTCTTCCCTTTGCCTTCCGCGCCTGGGCCGCCCTCCCTTGCGTCCCTCCGTTGGGCCCCTCGCCCTGCTTTGTTTTCTTCACCAGTCGGCTTCCCCTTGTCCGTCCCCGTTCTGCGTTGGCTGTTCGCCGCCCGGGGCCGGCCCCCGCAGGCCCGTTCCCCCGTCCGTCCCCCGGCCGGCCCGCGGCGCCCCGCTCTCGCCGCGGCGCCGCTCGCGCCGTCCCCGCCCGCCGCCGGGTTCGGGCCTGGGCCCCGTGCCCGCCTCGCGCCCTCCTTTTCCCGCGTTCCGGCTCCTTTTGCCGCTTCCCTTGCCTCCTTGTTCCTCGCCCCGCGGCTGTTCCCCTTGGCGCCTGCTGCGGTTTGCGTCGCCCCGGGCGTGGCCGGCCTTCGGTCTCCGGCTTTTCCCGGGCCGCCGGGCGCGCCCGGCCCCCCGCGCCGTGCGGTGCTCTTCCCGCCGCTGGCCTCCTCCGGCTGCGCCGCTTCCCGGGTGGGCGGCTGTTCCGCCCCGCTCCTCTTCCCGGGCTCCCGCCGCCGTCTCCGGACTTCCTCCCGTTGCCGTCCCGCCCGTCCCGGTTCCGGCTTTTCCCCGCTTCCCTTTCGGCGTCCGCGCGCCCCGCGCTCTCTGTCGGGGTTCCCCCCCCTTCGGCTCGACTCCCCTGTGCCGTGCGTTCCCCTGGCCCCTTTCCCCTCTTCGGCCTTCCCGTTCTCCTTTGCCTCTTTGCTCCTCCCCCCTTGCCCCGCCGGCCGCTCCGCCCCGGCTCCCGCCCCGGTTTTGCCGCGCCCGCCGCGCCCTCCTCCTCTCGGGGCCTGGCCCTTGCCCCGCCGGCCGGGTGTCGGTCGCGCGCTTCGCGCCCTCCTTTTCGGGCTCGTTGCTTCGGCCGGTGCGTTGTTCCCCCTCCTTCGCGGTTTCGCCTTCCCTGCCCCCCGTCCTGCTGTCTTCCTCGCCCCCCCCTTTGTGGGTCTCGGTTGCGCGCCGTTTGGCCCGTCCCCGGCTTCCGGTTCTCCGCCTCGCCCGTTCTGCTTCCCCCCCTGGCCCCCTTGGGCGCTCTTGCTTCCGTGGCGCGGCTCCCCCGCCGCCGCGCCGTCCTCCTCTTTCCGTTTGCGCCTCGGTCGCGGGCGTTGCGCCCCCGCGGCCTCTCCTCCTTGGCTTTCCCGCTCGCCCTCGCCGCGCGCTCCGCTCTCCTGCGGGCCCTTCGGCGGGCCCCGCTCCTCGCCGGTTCGCTTCGTCTTTCGCCCCTCTCCCCCGTCCGCCGCCGCTTTGCCCGTCCGTCTCGCTGCGGGCCTCCCCCGCGTTTCCTCTGGCTTCGCCCCGCTCCGGCTCGTTCCCCTCTTTCGGGTCCCGCCGGTCTGCTCCCCTCGCCCCCTTCTCCGCCGCTCCGGTCGGTCGGCGGTGCCCCCTCCGGGGGCTCCCCCCTCCGCTTCCTTCCGCCTTCCGGGTTTCCTCGCCCGTTGCCTCGCCCCCTGTCCGCCTCCTTGGTCCGTGTTTCCGCCGGGTCGCTGGGGCGCCCCCGGCCCGCGTCCGGCGCGCGCCGCTGCGCGCCCGCCCCGGGCGCGCGCTGCCTCCCCCCTCCGGCGCCGGCGTTCCGCGGGCGTCTCGCGCGCCCGGGCTTTGGCCGCCCCCCCTCCCCGCTGGTCCCCGCCCGCGTCGCTCGGCGGCCGGCTCGTCCCCGTTCCCCTCCGCCGGGGCGCCTCGCCGGCCCCCTCCGCTTCCCTCCCGCCCTTTCCCGCCTCTTTGCCTCTCTTTTCCCCGTCCTTTTCCTCTTTCCCTCGCGGTCCTTGTTCGCTCTCGGTCTCTCGCCGTCTTTCGCCTTGGCCGGCCTTCCCGCCCGCTTTGGGCTGCCTTCCCCCCCCCCGCCTCGTCGCCCGCGCCTCGTGGTGCGCCCGGGTCCGGGCCCCCGGGGCTCTCCCCCTCTCTGGCGCCCTTCCCGGGGCTTGGGCCGGTCGCCGCTGCGGCCGCTTCTCCCGCCTCCCTTCGGCCGCCGGCGCCGCCCGCTTCTCCGGCTGGGCTGTTCCCGGTTCGCTCGCGTTCTCCGGGCCTCCTTGTCGTTTCTTTTCCTCCGCTTCTTGCTTGCTTCCTCCGCGGGTCTCCGCCTGCCCTGGGGTCGCGGTCGGCGCGGCCGGCGCCCTCCGGGTCTGGGCGTCCGGCGCCCGCCGGGCTGTCGCCGGCCCCCGCGCGCGTTGCGTTTCCCCCCCCCTTGCCGCGCCGTCCGTCGCCGTGGCTCGCCTTTCGGCCCGCCGCGCGCTCGGGGCGCCCGGGCGGCCGCTTCCGCCCCGCGCTGCGCCTTGCGGCTTGCGGGGGGCGCCGCGCTGCGTGCCGCCCCGGCGCCGTGCCCTCGGCCTCCTGGCTTCGGGCGCCCTTGCGTTCCCGCCTCGCTGGTTCCGGGCTCTGCCCTTCCCCCCCGTTCGCCTTTCGCTCGTTCTTCCTCGTGCGCGCGCCGGCTCTCCGTTGCCGCGCGTCGTTTGTGTTTCCGCGCCGCGCGCGTCCCCCGCCCGCTCGCGCCCGGGGCGCGCGGGGCGGCTGCCGCTTTTCGTCTTCCTTGGCGCTTTCCGCGCCGGGGTTCGTTGGCCCCCCCCGCGCGCGCCGCGCGCCGGTCGGGGCGGGGGGCGGCGCCCGCCGCGCGCGCGTCGCCCCCCGTGTTTCCCCGTGTTCGCGGGTCGTTCTGCTTTGGCCGGTTTCGCCCCTGCTCCTTCCGCCGGTTCCCTCGGCCCCTTGTTCCGCCTTCTCCTTCCTCTCCTGCTCGGTTCCTGGCCTTCTCGCGCCGTCGCGGGCCGCGCCCCGCCCCCGTCGCCGCGCTCCGCCCTTTCCCGGCTCCTTCCTCGGTCGGCGCGCCGGGCGGTGTGTCCGGGCCGGGCCGTCGTCCCGCGCGCTGCTGCTCGCGCTTCCTCGGCTTCCTCGTTGCCGCCCCCCTTGCCCTGCTCTCTCCCCTCCCGCTGCCTTTCCCCGCTTCCCCGGGCCTGTCGGCCCGGCTTCCGCTCGTTGCTCCTCCGTGTCGCGGCGTGCGGCCCGCCCTCTCCGGGCTCCCGCCCTGTTCTTGCCTCCCCTTCGCGGCCTCCCGGCCGTCGTCCCTCTCCGCTGGCCGCGCCGGGCTCTCCGCTCGCTCGTTGCCGGCTGGGTCTCGTTCGTTCCGGCCTTCCCCGCCCCTCGCTCCCCCCTCCGCCCGGCCCTGCCCCCCCCCCTCGCTCCGCCGCGCTCTCCGTCTGTCCTCCTTCCTCTGTCTGGCCCTGGTACGTTTCCCCGTGTTGCGTCCCTTCGCGCCGGCTCCCCTCCTGGTGGTGCCCTTCCGTCCTTCCTTTCGTTTCCGCCTTGCGCCCCTCTCCCCCGCCCCCCCCTTTGCTTTCTCCTCCGGTGCCGGCGGGTCCTCCAGCCCCTCCGCCGCTCCTGGTCGGCCTCGTTTCTGGTTGCGCCTCGGCCGGTCTCTGCTCGTCTTCGCGCCCCCCCTTTCGTTCTTGCTTCTGCCCCCTCCTTGGCCCTGCTTTCGCCGTTGTTCGTCTTTCCTCCTCCCGCTTTCCCCCTCTGCCTCTGCCTCGCCTGCCCCGCCTGTCCCTGTTCCTCTTCCTCCGCTCCCGCGGCCCCGTCTCGGCCGCATCCTCATGTTTCCCCTGCTCTGTCTCCGCGCGTCGGCTTGCTTTGCGCCCTCTCTTTCTTCCCGTCCCGCGCCGGCGGCCGCCCCGGCCTTCGGCCGGCGCGCTCGGCCGCCGCGGGCCGCGCCGCCCGGTGCCCTCGGGCGGCCGGCCGGCCCCTCCCCGTCCCTCCGCGCTTTTTCCCTGCCCCCTTCCTCTCCGCTCTTGGGCTGGCTTCCCGGCGGCTGCTGGCCCCGCCTTGCCCTCCCCTGGTCTCGTTCGGGCTTTCGCTTGTCTCCTTCCCCTTCCCCGCCTCCTCGCCCGGTCTTGTTCTTTCTTGTCCTCCTCCCCGTGTCCGGCTTGGGTCTTTGCGCGCCTGCCTGCTTCCTTGGCTGTGGTCGCCGTTTCTCCGGCTCCCTCTCCGGCTCGCCCCCTCTCTCCGTCCCCGTCCCCCTGGTCGGCCCTCTCCTCCCTCGCCGTTGCTCGGGCCGCCTTTGCCTGCTGCGTCGCCGGCCCGCTGGCCGTGCGCTCCGTCGCGTTTCCTGCCTCCTCGCCGCCCCGGGCCGCGCCCGCGTCGCCCTTTTCTCTCTCCTGCCTCCCTTCCCGCCGTCGGGGTTTGTTGCCCGTCTTCGCTCTCGCCTTCTCCGGTTCTCCGCGTCTCGTCCTCCCCCCCTTCCCTGCTTTCCTGCGCCCTTCGCCGTTTCCCCGTCTGACTTTGTTCCTCCTTCCCTGCCTGGCTTCCTCTTTGCGCCCCGCCTCTGCCTCTGGCCGGCTCCCCCGGTCGCCTTCCTCCCCGGCCGCCGCGCGCCGCCTGCGCCCGCGCGCCGTCCGGGCCCGGCGGGTTCCCGGCGTGCGCGGCCGTCCTTCGCCCGGCGCATTCGTTTTGGGCGCTGGCGCGGTGCGGCCCCTGCCCCTGCGTTCCCGCTCCGCGCCTTCCCGCCGCCGCTCGCGGCCCCGCCCTCGCCCGCCGCCGGCGGGGCGTGGGCGCCCGCGCGGCTTTTGGGGTTCCCCCGCCCCTGGCCTGCGCGGGGCGCCGGCGCCCGATTGCCCGTGCGTCCTGCCTCGGCCTTCGGTCTGCCGCCCCGGCTCCCCCGTCCGCCCGCCTCGCTTGCGCTTGCTCCGCGCCCGCCCTGGCCTGCGGGTTCGGCCGTCGCTGCTCGCCGCCGGGCTCCCCTCCCCCCCGCCGCTTCCCCCTCCTGCGCCGTCCGTGCCTCGCTTCGTCGCTGCCCGCCCCCCCGCCGCCCGCCCTGCGCTGTCGTGCGCCGCCGCCGCTGCCTTCGTTGCCCGGCCCCTGCTCTCCCCGCCGTTGCGCGCCGCCCCCGGGGGTTGCGCCTTTCCTCCCTGTCCCGGTGTTGGCGGCCGCCTCCCGTTCTTGCCGCGCCCCCCCGCCCGGTCCCGCTCTCGCGTCCCGCCGTCCTTGGCCGTGCGTGCCTCGTGCTTGCCGCGCCTCCGCCGCCGTCGCCCGGCCGCGCCGCGCCTGCCCTCCCTTGCCCCTCGCCCGCCCGCCCTGCCGTTCCCCCCCGCGTCTCGCCCGGTCGCGCCCTGCCCTCGGCGGCCCCTGGTCGCCCCCGCGCGGTCGTCGGCCTGTTTTTGTCGGCGGTCGTCGCCCTGTTTTTGTCCGCGCCCGCCGCCGTCGCCCGGCCCGCCCTGCCTGCCCTCCCCGCCCCGCCCCCGCCCCCTCCGCCCCCCCCCCCGCCCCTCCGCCCCCGCCGCCCTGCCCTCCGCCTGCCGTCGCCTCCGTCTGCCTCCCCCTCTCCCCCCTTCTCTCTGCTTCCCCCCCCCCTGTGCCCGGCGTCGCCCCTTTTTCCCGCGCCTCCCTGCCCTGTCCCCCCTCTGCCCGTTCTCCGGTCCCCCCCCTTCGCTTCCCCCTGCCTTTTCTCTCTCTCCCCCTCGTTTTCCCCTTTTTTTTCCTTTTTCTTTTTTTTCGTCTCGTCCTTTGTTGCCCCCTCTTTTTTTCTCTCTCTCCCGTCCTTTGTGGCCGCTCCTGTGTGTTTGTCCCTTCGCCCGTGCCTCTTTGGGTTGTCCCTTTTCCTTCTGCTTCTCTGGCCCCTCTTGTCTCCTCCTGTCCCCTGGGTTTTTTTTTTTTCCGCCTCTCTCCGGGGGGTCGCGGTGTTGGCGGCCGCCTGCGGCGCCGGCCGGCGGCTGTCCTGGGCGTTCTGTGGGCTTCGTGGGCGTGTTGCGTGGGCTTCGTGGGCGTGTTGCGTGGGCGTTTGCTGGCCTGCCTGGCTTGTCCGTGCTCCGTCGTCGGGCGCTTCCCCCCCCTGTCGCCGCCCGCCTCCCCCTGCCGCCGCCCGCTCGTGGGGCGCCCCTGTGCCGCCGCGGGCCTTTTTCTCGCCCGGGCTCGCCGCGTTTGGTGTGGCCCGGCCGTGCTTGTTTTCGGGCGCGTGGCCCGTTTGCTGGCCTGCGCGGCTCGTCCGTGCTCCGTCGTCGGCGGCGCTGCCCGCCCGCGGCCCGCCCGGCCCCGTCCGGCTGGCCGCTCTCGCTGGCCCGGGCGTGGGGGGTGCTCGTGCCCGCCCTTTCGTCTGCCTCCCCCCCTTTCCCGTGCTTCCCTTCTCCCCCCCTTGGGCGGCGCGCCCCGGCGGGGCTCGCCTTGGCCTTGCCCGCCGGCCTCGGCGTCGGCGCCCGCCCTCTCCTGTCGGGCGTCGGGGTGGGTGTTGGGCGTGCCTCGCCGCCGCTCTTCCCGTCCGGCGCCTGCGTGGTCCTCGGCTTGTGTGGTTCGGTTGGCTCCCTGCTTCGCGCCGCGCCGTCCTCCCCCGCCTGCCCTGTCGGTCGCGGCTCCCGCGCCCTCTCGGCTTGTCGGCCGTTGGTCTCCTGTGCTGCCTCCCTCCTGCCTCGGCCTTCCTCCCGTGCCCTCGGTCGCCTTTCGCCCCTCGCCTTCCCTGTGCGGGGTGCCCCCCCGCCGCTCTTGCGTCCCCCGCCTTCCTCGCTTCGTCGTGCGCTGGCGTGGTCCGCGCGCGGCGGCTGGCCTTCTCGGCTTCGGTCGCCGCCGTGGGCCTGGGGCCTTCCCGGCTCCTCTCTGCCCCCCGCCTGCTCCTTGCGCCTGCCGGCCGCGCCCGCCTTGCCCCCTCCGTGCCCGTCCGGGCGCGGCGGGCTCCTGCGGCGCGCGGCGTCGTTGCGGCCTGCTCCCTGGTTGCTCCTGCCCGTCGTCCTCTGCTTGTCTCCCCGCTTCCGCCCTGCCTGTGTCCGTCTGCCCCCTTCCGCCTGTGCCCCTGCGCCTGGCTCCTTCCCTCCGTTCTCGTTTGTTTGCTGGTCTCTCTCCTCGGCTCCCGTCGTCCTTCTCGCGCTCCTCCGTGCCCCCCCCCGCCTTCTGGCCGGGCTGCCTTTCTTCGCTCCCGGTCGCCGCGGGCTCTGCCCGTTGCTGCGCTGCTTCCTGCTCCCTCGCCGGCTCGCCCGGCCCTCGTGCCGGCGCCGCCTCCTTCCCTTTCTGCCCTCTCCCCTTTCGCTGGTCGGCTCGTGGCCTCCCCTGGTGGTGCCGGGTGCCGGCGCCTTCGGGTTCGCTTCCGGCGCGGGCGCCTGCGCCCCGGCTCCCCCTCCCCGGCCGGCCGCCGGCGCGCCCCTTCCCCCCTGCCCCGGGGCGGTCGTGCCCTCCCTCCCCCTCCGGGCTCTCTGCGTCTGGTCCTTGGCCTGCGTCCCCTCTCCCTCCCTTCCCGCGGCTCCCTTGGCGGGCCCGTCTGGTGCCCGCCGCCGCGGTCCTTCCCGCTCCCCTCGCGTCTCTTTCCGTTGTTGCCGTTCCCCGCTCGTCGTTGGCCTTTGGGCTGGGCCGGCCGGTCCGCCCTCGGTGTGCCCCGGTCGTCTCGTCCCTTCTGTCGGCGCTGCGCTCCTGGCCTTCCTTGGCCGGGTCGTGCCTCCGGCGCTGGTTCTTTGCCGCCCTTCGCGTGCTCCCGCCGCCCTCCGCTCTGTCTCCTTCGCCTGGGCTCCTTCTGGCTTTCGGTCCTCTTCCGTTGGCCTTCGGGCTCGGCGTCCTGCTTCCCGGGACCGTCGGGGGGCCTTCGTCTTTCCTCGTCCGCGGTGCCTTCTTGGCTTTATGCCCGCCGCCCCCTGCGCCCGCCTTTGCCGGGTTTTCCTTCCTCCGCCCGCGTTGGGGGGCTCGCCGCCGCTCCGCTCCCGTCCTCGTCTCCCCTCCCCGTGCCGCCCCGGGCTCGGCGGCTGTTGCTTTTCGGCCTCCGCCGGCCCCTTCTGCGCACTCCGTTTTTGGGTTCCGGGGGCGTCTGGTCGCCGGCTGCCCTTCCCGGCCTTGCCGGCCGGGCCCCCCGGCTGGCGCCTGCGGCTTCCTTTGCCTCCCCCCGGGGCCTTCCCCGGTCCGCCTGTCGGCTTGCCCGCCTGGCGCTCTTTCTTGCTTCTCTGGGTGGTGGTGCCTGGCCGTTCTTCGTTGGTGGGCGCTTTGTCTGGTTCTTCCGTTCCCGCCCGCGCCTCCCCTGCTCCCTCGCTCTGCGGCGGTCTCCCTTCGCGGCCCGCTTCTTCGCGGGCCTCCGGCCTTTTCGGCCGCGGCCGTTTGCGGCCTCACCGGTCTGTGCTGCCCTTCGCTGTTCTGGGCCGCCCGCGGCTCCCCTGCTGTCTTCCCCGCGCTTCTCGCCTTGGCCGCCGGCCCGGGTCCTCTTTGCCCTTTCCTCGTGCTGGGGCTCGCTCTTGCCCTTGTTGGTCTTCCCCGCGGCCTTCCTCGTCCGCGCGAGTCCTCCGCTCGCGTTGCCTCCGTCCCTGCCCTTTGTCCCCCGCCCGTCGCTCCTCCCGCTTGCCTGCTCCGGTGCCTGTTCGGCTCGGGCGCCGTGGGCGGTTCGCTGCCCGCGCGTCGCGCGCCGTCCTTGCCCTTCTCTTTAGCGGCGGCGCCGTCGTCCCCCGGTTTCCGTCGGTGACCTGCGCCGGCTCCTTGTCGACCCTGCCCCGCCGCCCGCCCGCGCCCCGTTTTCCCCCCTTGGGGGCGCCGCGCGCTCGTCGTCGCCTCCCTCCCGTCCCGCCCTGCGCGCTTGCGCGCTCGTTTTGGGGGCCCCGCCCCCGGCGCGGCCCGCGCCCCGGCCTCCTCCCTCGGCCGCTCCCCTCGCGCCCCGTTCGCGGCTCGTGCGGGGGGCCGCGCGCTGCTCTTTCCCCCCCCCGCCTCTCGGCCCGGACTTCTCGGCTCTCGCCTCGCTGCCGCCCGTCGCGCCTGCGCTCCTTGGTGTGCCTTGCCGCCTCCCGTGCCCCCTCGCGTCTTGCCCGCCCGTTGCGCCCGCCGCCCTTCGGCCGCGGGCCCGTCTGCCTGGGCGTCCCGCCTCGCGTCGCCCCCCGCCCGCGCCGGCTCCGCGCGGGGCGGCCGCTGGCCTCCCGTGCGCCCGCGCGCGCGGCTGGCCTCCTGCGCGTCCCCGTCGCCGGCCGTCGCGGCCCGTGGTGGTTGCCCTCCCCTCTCTCTTGTTGTCGCGGCTCCCGCCCGTCGTGCGTCGGCCTCCCCCGCCCCTGCTTGCGCCTGCGCGCTCCGCCCGCGCCCCCCGGTCCGGCGGGCTTCCCCGCTGCGTTTCCGCCTCTCCCTCGCGGCGGCCCCGCCCCTTCCCCGGCTTCCCTTCGTCCGGCGCGCGCCCCGGGCCCCGCCCCGCCTTCGCTCGGGCGGCTCCGTCGTCCGCCTTGTCGTCTGGCCGCGTCCTCCGCGGCGGCCCGGGCCCCGTCCCCTGGCGGGGGCGCCCGCGGGGTGCGCGCCCCGTTGTGCCCGGCCCCTGTCGCCCCCGCGGCGCTGTCTCCGCGTCGGGTTGTTTGGGCTGCGCCCCTCGGGCGGTGTTCCGTCCCGGCTCCTCGGGCGCGGCCGCTCGCGCCCCCGTCCGGCGGGCCGTGCCGGCTTTGCCCGCGCGTCCCGCGTGCTTGCCTTGTCGGGCGGGCGCGGTGGGGGGCCGGCGCTGCGCCCCGGTCGGCTGTGGCCCGGTGCCGCGCCGGTCCGCCGCTCGCCTCGGGGCGTGGCCCGCGTGGCTTGGGGGGGCGGCCCCGCCCGGGCTCTCGCTCCGCCGCGGCCCGCCGTCTCCTTGCTTGTGGTCGGCCGCGCGCGCCTCTGGCGTGCTTCGGCCTCTGCGCGCTCCGGACGCTGGCCTGTGGGCTCCCCCTTCGCCCCGTCTTGCCCCCGGCCCCCGGCGTCTGCCCTGTGTGCGCGTCCCCGGGCGCGTCCCCCGTCGGCGTCCGGCCGCTGCTTGGTGGGCTCCCCTGGGGGTGCCCGCCGCCCGCCTTGCTCTTCTGCGCCGGGTTCGCGTGTGCGCCTCCTGTCGGGCCCCGCGCTGGTGCCTCTGCCTGCGCGGGGCGCCGCCGCGGCCCTCTGGTGCGGCCCGCCGCGCTCCTGCCGTGCCCCTCGTTCGTCTGCCTTGGGTCTCGGGGCGCCCGCCTCCTCGCCCGTCTCGTCGCTGGTTCCCTCCGCCGTTTCCCTCCGGCTAGTGGCGCTCGCGTGCGCGTTCTCTCGGGTCCGCCCCTGCTTCGGGCCTCGGGGGCGCCCGCCCTCGCCCTCTTCTCCACCTTTCCCTCGGTCGGCCGGCGCGGCTGCTTTGTTGCGCCGCGCCCCGGCCTCCCGCGCTCCCCGTGGGCCCTTTTTGGTCCGCCGCCTGGCGCTGCGGGCTGCCCCGGCCGCCGGGTTCCGGTGCCCCCTGCGCGCTCCCCTCGCTCCCCCCGGGTGTTGGTCGCTTCGCCCGCCGGCCGGTGGTCCTGGCGTCGCCCTCCGCTCCGGCGTGTGTCCCTCCCCTGCCGCCTCCCCTCGCCCCGCCCTGGCTGGCGCTTCCGCGCGCCGCCCTCCGGCCGTCGGGGCCCGTGCCCGGCCCCGCTGCGTCGGCGGGCGCGGCGGTCGCTGCCCCCTTGGGCGTGCGCCTGGGCGGCGCGGCCGTCGGTGCCGCTCTTGGTGGTCGTCGCCCCTCTTCCCCTGCGCCCTTTGCCGGCCGCCGCGGGGCCCGGTTCCCTGTGCCCGGCCCTTGCCCCTGGGTTCGTCGCTCCTCCGGGTCGGGGGCCCCGCCCGCTCGCGCGTTTCGCGCGTCCTCCGCCCGGGCCTCGGGTTCCCCTTCCTGCCCCGGGCCGTGGCGGTTGCCGGCCCCGTTCGGCCGTCCGGCGGCGGCGCCCCGCCGCGCTCTCTGCCCCGCCCGCGTCGCCTCCCGTTTCGGCTCCGCGCCCTTCGCGCGCGCTGCTTCCGTCCTTCCCTGCCTTCCCCTTGGTGCTCCTGCCCCTTCCCCCTCTTGCCCCGCCGGTCCCGCTCCGCCCCGGCTCCCCGCCCCAGGTTTTGCCGCGCCCGCCGCGCCCTCCTCCTCCTCGGGGCCTGGCCCTTGCCCCGCCGGCCGGGTGTCGGTCGCGCGCTTCCGCGCCCTCCCTTTTCGGGGCTCGTTGCTTCGGCCGGTGCGTTGTTCCCCCTCCTTCGCGGCTTTCGCCTTCCCTGCCCCCCGTCCTGCTGTCTTCCTCGCCCCCCCCCCTTTGTGGGCTCTCGGTTCGCGCGCCGTTTGGCCCCGTCCCCGGCTTCCGGTTCCTCCCGCCTCGCCCGTTCTGCTTCCCCCCCTGGCCCCCTTGGCGCTCTTGCTTCCGTGGCGCGGCTCCCCCGCCGCCGCGCCGTCCTCCCTCTTTCCGTTTGCGCCTCGGTCGCGGGCGTTGCGCCCCGCGGCCTCTCCTCCTTGGCTTTCCCGCTCGCCTCGCCCGCGCGCTCCCGCTCTCCTGCGGGCCCTTCGGCGGGCCCCGCTCCTCGCCGGTTCGTTCGTCTTTCGCCCCTCTCCCCCGTCCGCCGCCCGCTTTGCCCGTCGTCTCGCTGCGGGCCTCCCCCCGCGTTTCCTCTGGCTTCGCCCCGCTCCGGCCTCGTTCCCCTCTTTCGGGTCCCGCCCGGTCTGCTCCCCCTCGCCCCTTCTCCGCCGCTCCCGGTCGGTCGGCGGTGCCCCCTCCGGGGGTCCCCCCCTCCGCTTCCTTCCGCCTTCCGGGTTTCCTCGCCCGTTGCCTCGCCCCCTGTCCGCCTCCTTGGTCCGTGTTTCCCGCCGGGTCGCCTGGGGCGCCCCCGGCCGCGTCCGGCGCGCGCCGCTGCCGCGCCCGCCCGCGGCGCGCGCTGCCTCCCCCCTCCCGGCGCCGGCGTTCCGCGGGCGTCTCGCGCGCCCGGGCTTTGGCCGCCCCCCCTCCCCGCTGGTCCCCGCCCCGCGTCGCTCGGCGGCCCGGCTCGTCCCGTTCCCCTCCGCCCGGGGCGCCTCGCCGGCCCCCTCCGCTTCCTCCCGCCCTTTCCCGCCCTCTTTGCCTCTCTTTTCCCCGTCCTTTTCCTCTTTCCCTCGCGGTCCTTGTTCGCTCTCGGTCTCTCGCCCGTCTTTCGCCTTGGCCGGCCTTCCCCGCCCGCTTTGGGCTGCCTTCCCCCCCCCGCCTCGTCGCCGCGCCTCGTGGTGCGCCCGGGTCCGGGCCCCCGGGGCTCTCCCCTCTCTGGCGCCCCTTCCCGGGGCCTTGGGCCCGGTCCGCCGCTGCGGCCGCTTCTCCCGCCTCCCTTCGGCCGCCGGCGCCGCCCGCTTCTCCGGCTGGGCTGTTCCCGGTTCGCTCGCCGTTCCTCGGGCCTCCTTGTCGTTTCTTTTCCTCCGCTTCTTGCTCTGCTTCCCTCCGCGGGTCCTCCGCCTGCCTGGGGTCGCGGTCGGCGCGCGCCGGCGCCTCCGGGTCTGGGCGTCCGGCCGCCCGCCGGGCTGTCGCCGCGCCCCCGCGCGCGTTGCGTTTCCCCCCCCTTGCCGCGCCGTCCGTCGCCGTGGCCTCGCCTTTCGGCCCGCCGCGCGCTCGGGGCGCCCGGGCGGCCCGCTTCCGCCCGCGCTGCGCCTTGCGGCTTGCGGGGGGCGCCGCGCTGCGTGCCGCCCGGCCGCCGTGCCCTCGGCCTCCTGGCTTCGGGCGCCCCTTGCGTTCCCCGCCTCGCTGGTTCCCGGGCTTCTGCCCTTCCCCCCCGTCTCGCCTTTCGCTCCGTTCTTCCTCGCTGCGCGCGCCGCGCTTCCGTTGCCGCGCGTCGTTTGTGTTTCCGCGCCGCGCGCGTCCCCCCGCCCGCTCCGCGCCCGGGGCGCGCGGGGCGGGCTGCCGCTTTTCGTCTTCCTTGGCGCTTTCCGCGCCGGGGTTCGTTGGCCCCCCCCCGCGCGCGCCCGCGCGCCGGTCGGGGCCGGGCGGGCGGCGCCGCCGCGCGCGCGTCGCCCCCCGTGTTTCCCCGTGTTCGCGGGTCGTTCTGCTTTGCCGGTTTCGCCCCTGCTCCTTCCGCCGGTTCCCCTCCGGCCCCTTGTTCCGCCTTCTCCTTCCTCTCCCTGCTCCGGTTCCTGGCCTTCTCGCGCCGTCGCGGGCCGCGCCCGCCCCCGTCGCCGCGCTCCGCCCTTTCCCCGGCTCCTTCCTCGGTCGGCGCGCCGGGCGGTGTGTCCCGGGCCGGGCCGTCGTCCCCGCGCGCTGCTGCCTCGCGCTTCCTCGGCTTCCTCGTTGCCGCCCCCCTTGCCCTGCTCTCTCCCCTCCCGCTGCCTTTCCCGCTTCCCCGGGCCTGTCGGCCCCGGCTCTCCGCTCGTTGCTCCTCCGTGTCGCGCGCGTGCGGCCCCGCCCTCTCCGGGCCTCCCGCCCTGTTTTGCCTCCCCCTTCCGCGGCCTCCCGGCCGTCGTCCCTCTCCGCCGCTGGCCGCGCCGGGCTCCCTCCGCCTCGCTCGTTCGCCGGCTGCGGTCTCGTTCGTTCCCGGCCTTCCCCGCCCCTCGCTCCCCCCCTCGCCGGCCCTGCCCCCCCCCCCTCGCTCCCGCCGCGCTCTCCGTCTGTCCTCCTTCCTCTGTCTGGCCCTGGTCCGTTTCCCCGTGTTGCGTCCCTTCGCCGCCGGCTCCCCTCCTGGTGGTGCCCTTCCGTCCTTCCTTTCCGTTTCCGCCTTGCGCCCTCCTCCCCCGGCCCCCCCCTTTGCTTTCTCCTCCGGTGCCGGCGGCGTCCTCCCGCCCCCTCCGCCGCTCCCTGGTCGGCCTCGTTTCTGGTTGCGCCTCGGCCGGTCTCTGCTCGTCTTCGCGCCCCCCCTTTCGTTCTTGCTTCTGCCCCTCCTTGGCCCTGCTTTCGCCGTTGTTCGTCTTTCCTCCTCCCGCCTTTCCCCTCTGCCTCTGCCTCCGCCTGCCCCGCCTGTCCCTGTTCTCCTTCCTCCGCTCCCGCGGCCCCCGTCTCGGCCCGCCTCCTCTCCTGTTCTCCCCTGCTCTGTCTCCCGCGCGTCGGCTTGCTTTGCGCCTCTCCTTTCTTCCCCGTCCCGCGCCGGCGGCCCGCCCCGGCCCTTCCGGCCCGGCGCGCCTCGCCGCCCGCCGGGCCGCGCCGCCCGGTGCCCCCTCGGGCGGCCCGGCCGGCCCCTCCCCCGTCCCCCTCCGCGCTTTTTCCCTGCCCCCTTCCTTCCGCTCTTGGCGCTGGCCTTCCCGCGGCTGCTGGCCCCGCCTTGCCCTCCCCTGGCTCCTCGTTCGGGCTTTCGCTTGTCCTCCTTCCCCTTCCCGCCTCCTCGCGCCCGGTCTTGTTCTTTCTTGTCCCTCCCTCCCCGTGTCCGGCTTGGGTCTTTGCGCGCCTGCTGCCTTCCTTGGCTGTGGTCGCCGTTTCTCCGGCTCCCTCTCCGGCCTCGCCCCTCCTTCTCCGTCCCCGTCCCCCCCTGGTCGGCCCCTCTCCTCCCTCGCCGTTGCTCGGGCCGCCTTTGCCTGCTGCGTCGCCGGCCCGCTGGCCGTGCGCTCCGTCGCGTTCTCCTGCCTCCTCGCCGCCCCGGGCCGCGCCCGCGTCGCCCTTTTCTCTCCTCCTGCCTCCCTTCCCGCCGTCGGGGTTTGTTGCCCGTCTTCGCTCTCGCCTTCCTCCGGTTCTCCGCGTCGTCGCTCCCCTCCCCCCCTCTCCTGCTTTCTGCGCCCTTCGCCGTTTCCCCGTCTGCCTTTGTTCCTCCTTCCCCTGCCTGGCTTCCTCTTTGCGCCCGCCTCTGCCTCCTGGCCGGCTCCCCCGGTCGCCTTCCTCCCCGCCGCCGCGCGCCGCCTGCGCCCGCCGCGCCCGTCCGGGCCCGGCGGGTTCCCGGCGTGCGCGGCCGTCCTTCGCCCGGCGCCTTCGTTTTGGGCCGCTCGGCGCCGGTGCGGCCCCTGCCCCCTGCGTCTCCCGCCTCCGCGCCTTCCCGCCGCCGCTCGCGGCCCCCGCCCTCGCCCGCCGCCGCGCGGCCGGCGTGGGCCGCCGCGCGGCTTTTGGGTTCCCCCGCCCTGGCTGCGCGGGGCGCCCGGCGCCCGCTTGCCCGTGCGTCCTGCCTCGGCCTTCGGTCTGCCGCCCCGGCTCCCCCGTCCGCCCGCCTCGCTTGCGCTTGCTCCGCGCCCGCCCTGGCCTGCGGGTTCGGCCGTCGCTGCTCGCCGCCGGGCTCCCCCTCCCCCCCCGCCGCTTCCCCTCCTGCGCCGTCCGTGCTCGCTTCGTCGCTGCCCGCCCCCCCCCCCGCCGCCCGCCCTGCGCTGTCGTGCGCCGCCGCCGCTGCCTTCGTTGCCCGGCCCTGCTCTCCCCGCCGTTGCGCGCCGCCCCGGGGGTTGCGCCTTTCCTCCCTGTCCGGTGTTGGCGGCCGCCTCCGTTCTTGCCCGCGCCCCCCCCCGCCCGGTCCCGCTCTCGCGTCCCGCCGTCCTTGGCCGTGCGTGCCTCGTGCTTGCCGCGCCTCCGCCGCCGTCGCCCGGCCGCGCCGCGCCTGCCCTCCCCTTGCCCCTCGCCCGCCCCCCGCCCTGCCGTTCCCCCCCCCCGCGTCTCGCCCGGTCGCGCCCCTGCCCTCGGCGGCCCCTGGTCGCCCCCCGCGCGGTCGTCGGCCTGTTTTTGTCGGCGGTCGTCGCCCTGTTTTTGTCCGCGCCCGCCGCCGTCGCCCGGCCCGCCCTGCCTGCCCTCCCCGCCCCCGCCCCCGCCCCCTCCGCCCCCGCCCCCGCCCCCTCCGCCCCCGCCCGCCCCTGCCTCCGCCTGCCGTCGCCTCCGTCTGCCTCCCCCCCTCTCCCCCTTCTCTCTGCTTCCCCCCCCCCCCTGTGCCGGCGTCGCCCCGCTTTTTCCCGCGCCTCCTCCTGCCCTGTCCCCCCCCTCTGCCCGTTCTCCGGTCCCCCCCCCTTCGCTTCCCCCCTGCCTTTTCTCTCTCTCCCCCTCGTTTTCCCCCCTTTTTTTTCCTTTTTCTTTTTTTTCGGCCCTTTCCGCCCTCTTCGTCCTCCTTCTCCTCCTCGGCCCTCTCCCCCTCTCCCTTCCCCCCCCTTCCCCCTCCTCTCGTCCCTTCGCTCTCCCCTTTCGTCCCTTTTCCTTTTTCCCTGTTCCGTCCCCTCTCCCCGTCCCCTCCTGCCGTTTGGTCCGCCCGCCCGCGTGCGGCGGCCCGTTGCGCCTCGCTGCTGGCCCTCGCTGCCTCTCTTGTTCTGCCTGCCGGGTGTTTCCCGCTCTTTTGCTTTTGGGCCTGCCTGGCCCTCCGCCCGTTGTCGCCCCTGTTGCGCCCGCCCGGCCGCTGCGGGCCGTCCCCGGCCGCCGTCGGCTGCCCGTTGTGTGCCGTCCCCGGGCGCTGCGGGCCGTCCCCGGCCGCCGTCGGCTGCCCGTTGTGTGCCGTCCCGGGCGCTGCGGCCCGGCCCCGGCCGCCGTCGGCTGCCCGTTGTGTGCCGTCCCCGGGCGCTGCGGCCCGGCCCCGGCCGCCGTCGGCTGCCGTTGTGTGCCGTCCCCGGGCGCTGCGGCCCGTCCCCGGCCGCCGTTGGCTGCCCGTTGTGTGCCGTCCCCGGGCGCTGCGGGCCGTCCCCGCCCGCCGTTGGCTGCCCGTTGTGTGCCGTCCCCGGGCGGTGCGGCCCGGCCCCGGCCGCCGTCGCCTGCGCGCTGTGGGCCGGCCCCGCCCGCCGTCGCCTGCGCGCTGTGGGCCGGCCCCGGCCGCCCTTGGCTGCGCGCTGTGTGCCCGCCCCGGGCGCTGTGGGCCGGCCCCGGCCGCCGTCGCCTGCGCGCTGTGTGCCGCCCCGGGCGCTGTGGGCCGGCCCCGGCCGCCGTCGGCTGCGCGCTGTGTGCCGCCCGGGCGCTGTGGGCCGCCCCCGCTTGCCGTCGCCTGCGCGCTGTGTGCCGCCCCGGGCGCTGCGGTCCGGCCCCGCCCGCTGCGCGCCTGCCCCGTCCGCCGTCGGCTGCCCGTTGTGTGCCCGCCCCGGGCCCTGCGGCCCGGCCCCGCCCGCCGTCGGCTGCTCGTTGTGTGCCCGCCCCGGGCGCTGCGGGCCGGCCCGCCCGCTGCGGGCCTGCCCCGTCCGCCGTCGGCTGCCCGTTGTGTGCCCGCCCCGGGCCTGCGGGCCCGCCCCGCCCGCCGTCGGCTGCGCCTTGTGCCCCGGCCCCGTTTGCTGCGTGCCCCCCTTGGCTGCTGTTGCCCGTCGTTGGCCGCCGCCGCTTGCCCGCTGCGCCCGTGCCCCGTCCGCTGCGTGCCGGCCTTGGCTGCTGCCGCCTGCCGTTGGCCGCCGTCGCTTGCCCGCTGCCCCCTCCCCCGTCCGCTGCGCGCCGGCCTTGGCTGCTGCTGCCTGGCCCCGGCCGTGGCCCGCCCCTGCTGCCTCCCTCGCCCCCCTGCCCCTTGGCCTCTTCCTTGGCTTTCGCCTCGCCCCCGCCCTCCCCCCCCCTCTTCTCGCGCCCTCGTTCTTGTGCCCTTCCCGTCTCCTTCGGCCTGCGCCCTGCCCTCGCCGTCCCGCCCCCTCCCCTGGCGCCTCGTTCTTGCCCCCTTTTTGCTCCTCCTCGCCCCTCTCGTTCCCCTCTCGTTCCCCCTTGGCGGCCCCCTCGTCCTTTCCCGCCCCTGTTCTTCTCGGCCCTTCTTTTTCCCCCCTTGGTGCCTTTTTTCCTTCCCCGGCTGCCCGCCCTCCTCCCCTCCCTTTTGGCCGTTCGCCTGCTTGGCTTTGCGGTTGGGGGCGGGGGCCGTGGGGGGGCCGCCTCGGCGCGCCCCCGGGCTGCCTCTCCGTGGCTCGTGGCCGCCCGGCCCCTCTGCCCCTTCCCCTCCCCCGTCGCGTCTTTCCGTCGTCTGCCCCGGCTTCTCCCCGCCGCTCGCTGGCCTTGTCCTTCCCGGCGGTCCCGCGCCGCTTCCGTCGCGGCGCCTTCGCCCCGCCCCGTGCCCTTGGGGGCCCCGGCCCCTCCTGCGGGTCGGCCCGCGGCCGGCGGGCGCCTGCGTCGCTTCTCGCCCGGCTTCTGCCTTCGCGGCGTTCCGTCCTCCTCCCGCCCCCGGTCGCTTCGCGCCCCTGGCTTTTCCCCCCGCGCGCTGCCCCTTGTGTGCCTCCCCGGTTCCTCTCGTCCTCGGTTGCCTTCCTCTTGCGCCCCTGTCCTCCGTCGGGTCCCTCCCCTGTCTCCCGCCGGTCTCCCCCCGCTCCCGTTCCCTCTTGGTGGGTGCCCCTCCCCCCTTGGTGCCTTCTGCTTCCCCCTGCTCGGCCGCGCCGCCCTCGCCGGCTCCCCCGCCCGTCGCTCTGCCCGCTTGGCTGCCCCCGCCCGTTCTCCCTGTGGTCCTTTTCTGCCCCCTCTCGCTTCGCCTTCCGCCGGTCTCCGGCTCGTTGGCCCCGCTTTCCCGGTTCGTCTTCGTCCTGGCCTCCGCCTCCCCGCGCTTTTCCCCTTCTGTTCCCCCGCGCTTTCTGTTCTCGTTGCGCTCCTCTTCGGCCCCTGCGTTCTCTTTTCCCCGCTGTGCCGCCCCGCCCCCCTCCCCCCCTGCCCTGTCTTCCGCCCGGCTCGGCCCGCGCCGCGCGCCTTGGGTCCCCCCGCGGGGCCGTGCCCCGCTTCCGCTTCCCGGCCTCGTCCCTCCGTTCCCGTCGTGGTCTTTCCCTTTCGCCTTTCGGCTCCCCTTCTCTCCCCTCTCCCGTCCTTTCCCCCGTCGGCCTCGCGTCCCGCTCCCCGGGTCTTCTTTCCCCGCTGCTTCTGCCCGCCCGTTCCCTTGGCTGTGGTTTCGCTGGCTGTCGCCCGGGCCGTGGGCCTCTCGTTCCTCCCTTCCTGCGCGTCCTCCTTCGCTGCCGCGGCCTTTGGCTCCCTTCGCGCGTCCTCGTTCTCCCGCCGTTTCCCCGCGCTTGGTTGCTTTCTTCCCTTTGCCTTCCGCGCCCTGGGCCGCCTCCCTTGCGTCCCTCCGTTGGGCCCCTCGCCTGCTTTGTTTTCCTTCCCCGTCGGCTTCCCCTTGTCCGTCCCCGTTCTGCGTTGGCTGTTCGCCGCCCGGGGCCGGCCCCCGCCGGCCCGTTCCCCGTCCGTCCCCGGCCGGCCCGCGGCGCCCCGCTCTCGCCGCGGGCGCCGCTCGCGCCGTCCCCGCCCGCCGCCGGGTTCGGGCCTGGGCCCCCGTGCCCCGCCCTCCGCGCCCTCCTTTTCCCGCCGTTCCGGCTCCCTTTTGCCGCCTTCCCTTGCCTCCCTTGTTCCCTCGCCCCGCGGCTGTTCCCCTTGGCGCCCTGCTGCGGTTCTGCGTCCGCCCGGGCGTGGCCGGCCTTCGGTCCTCCGGCTTTTCCCGGGCCGCCGGGCGCGCCCCGGCCCCCCGCGCCGTGCGGTGCTCTTCCCGCCGCTGGCCCTCCCTCCGGCTGCGCCGCTTCCCGGGTGGGCCGGCTGTTCCCCGCCCGCTCCCTCTTCCCGCGGCTCCCGCCGCCGTCTCCGGCCTTCCTCCCGTTGCCGGTCCCCCGCCCCGTCCCGGTTCCGGCCTTTTCCCCCGCTTCCCTTTCGGCGTCCGCGCGCCCCGCGCTCTCTGTCGGGGTTCCCCCGCCCCTTCGGCTCGCCTCCCCCTGTGCCCGTGCCGTTCCCCTGGCCCTTTCCCCTCTTCGGCCTTCCCGTTCTCCTTTGCCTCTTTGCTCCTCCCCCCGCTCTGCCCCGCCGGCCGCTCCGCCCCGGCTCCCGCCCCGGTTTTGCCGCGCCCGCCGCGCCCTCCTCCTCCTCGGGGCCTGGCCCTTGCCCCGCGGCCGGGTGTCGGTCGCGCGCTTCCGCGCCCTCCCTTTTCGGGGCTCGTTGCTTCGGCCGGTGCGTTGTTCCCCCCTCCTTCGCGGCTTTCGCCTTCCCTGCCCCCGTCCTGCTGTCTTCCTCGCCCCCCCCTTTGTGGGCTCTCGGTTCGCGCGCCGTTTGGCCCCGTCCCCCGGCTTCCGGTTCCTCCCGCCTCGCCCGTTCTGCTTCCCCCCTGGCCCCCTTGGCGCTCTTGCTTCCGTGGCGCGGCTCCCCCGCCGCCGCGCCGTCCTCCCTCTTTCCCGTTTGCGCTCGGTCGCGGGCGTTGCGCCCCCCGCGGCCTCTCCTCCTTGGCTTTCCCCGCTCGCCCTCGCCCGCGCGCTCCCGCTCTCCTGCGGGCCCTTCGGCGGGCCCCGCTCCTCGCCGGTTCGCTTCGTCTTTCGCCCCTCTCCCCCGTCCGCCGCCCGCTTTGCCCGTCCGTCTCGCTGCGGGCCTCCCCCCGCGTTTCCTCTGGCTTCGCCCCGCTCCGGCCTCGTTCCCCCTCTTTCGGGTCCCGCCCGGTCTGCTCCCCCTCGCCCCTTCTCCGCCGCTCCCGGTCGGTCGGCGGTGCCCCCTCCGGGGGCTCCCCCCCTCCGCTTCCTTCCGCCTTCCGGGTTTCCTCGCCCGTTGCCTCGCCCCCCTGTCCGCCTCCTTGGTCCGTGTTTCCCGCCGGGTCGCCTGGGGCGCCCCCGGCCCGCGTCCGGCGCGCGCCGCTGCCGCCGCCCGCCCGCGGCGCGCGCTGCCTCCCCCCTCCCGGCGCCGGCGTTCCGCGGGCGTCTCGCGCGCCCGGGCTTTGGCCGCCCCCCCCTCCCGCTGGTCCCCGCCCCGCGTCGCTCGGCGGCCCGGCTCGTCCCCGTTCCCCTCCGCCCGGGGCGCCTCGCCGGCCCCCTCCGCTTCCCTCCCGCCCCTTTCCCGCCCTCTTTGCCTCTCTTTTCCCGTCCTTTTCTCTTTCCCTCGCGGTCCTTGTTCGCTCTCGGTCTCTCGCCCGTCTTTGCCTTGGCCGGCCTTCCCCGCCCGCTTTGGGCTGCCTTCCCCCCCCCCGCCTCGTCGCCCGCGCCTCGTGGTGCGCCCGGGTCCGGGCCCCCGGGGCTCTCCCCCTCTCTGGCGCCCCTTCCCGGGGCCTTGGGCCCGGTCCGCCGCTGCGGCCGCTTCTCCCGCCTCCCTTCGGCCGCCGGCGCCGCCCGCTTCTCCGGCTGGGCTGTTCCCGGTTCGCTCGCCGTTCCTCCGGGCCTCCTTGTCGTTTCTTTTCCTCCGCTTCTTGCTCTGCTTCCCCTCCGCGGGTCTCCCGCCTGCCCTGGGGTCGCGGTCGGCGCGCGCCGGCGCCCTCCGGGTCTGGGCGTCCGGCCGCCCGCCGGGCTGTCGCCGCGCCCCCCCGCGCGCGTTGCGTTTCCCCCCCTTGCCGCGCCGTCCGTCGCCGTGGCCTCGCCTTTCGGCCCGCCGCGCGCTCGGGGCGCCCGGGCGGCCCGCTTCCGCCCCGCGCTGCGCCTTGCGGCTTGCGGGGGGCGCCGCGCTGCGTGCCGCCCCGGCCGCCGTGCCCTCGGCCTCCTGGCTTCGGGCGCCCTTGCGTTCCCCGCCTCGCTGGTTCCCGGGCTTCTGCCCTTCCCCCCCGTTCGCCTTTCGCTCCGTTCTTCTCGCTGCGCGCGCCGCGCTCTCCGTTGGCCGCGCGTCGTTTGTGTTTCCGGCCGCGCGCGTCCCCCGCCGCTCCGCGCCCGGGGCGCGCGGGGCGGGCTGCCGCTTTTCGTCTTCCTTGGCGCTTTCCGCGCCGGGGTTCGTTGGCCCCCCCCCGCGCGCGCCGCGCGCCGGTCGGGCCGGGCGGGCGGCGCCCGCGGCGCGCGTCGCCCCCCTGTTTCGTCGCGGTCGTTCGCTGCCCGTGTTCTCTCTCTCCCCCCCCCCCCGGCGGCGGAGCCGCGCCGCGCCCCTGCCCCGCCCCGCCCGCGCCCCGTTTCCCCCCTTGGGGCGCCGCGCGCTCGTCGTGCGCCTCCCTCCCGTCCCCGCCCTGCGCGCTTGCGCGCTCGTTTTGGGGGCCCCGCCCCCGGCGCGGCCCGCGCCCCGGTCCTCCCTCGGCCGCCTCCCTCGCGCCCCGTTCGCGCTCGTGCGGGGGCCGCGCGCTGCTCTTTCCCCCCCCCGCCTCTCGCCCCGGCTCTCTCGGCTCTCGCCTCGCTGCCGCCCGTCGCGCCTGCGCTCCTTGGTGTGCCTTGCGCTCCCGTGCCCCCTCGCGTCTTTGCCCGCCCGTTGCGCCCGCCGCCCTTCGGCCGCGGGCCCGTCTGCCTGGGCGTCCCGCCTCGCGTCGCCCCCCCGCCGCCGCCCGGCTCCGCGCGGGGCGGCCGCTGGCCTCCCGTGCGCCCCGCGCGCGCCGGCTGGCCTCCCTGCGCGTCCCCGTCGCCGGCCGTCGCGGCCCGTGGTGGTTGCCCCTCCCCTCTCCTCTTGTTGTCGCGGCTCCCGCCCGTCGTGCGTCCGGCCTCCCCGCCCCTGCTTGCGCCCTGCGCGCTCCGCCCGCGCCCCCGGTCCGGCGGGCTTCCCGCTGCGTTTCCGCCTCTCCTCCGCGGCGGCCCCGCCCCTTCCCCGGCTTCCCTTAGTCCCGGCGCGCGCCCGGGCCCCGCCCCGCCTTCGCCTCGGGCGGCTCCGTCGTCCGCCTTGTCGTCTGGCGCCGCGTCCTCCGCGGCGGCCCGGGCCCCCGTCCCCTGGCCGGGGGCGCCCGCGCGGGTGCGCGCCCGTTGTGCCCGGCCCCTGTCGCCCCCCGCGGCGCTGTCTCCGCGTCGGGTTGTTTGGGCCTGCCGCCCCCCTCGGGCGGTGCTTCCGTCCCCGGCTCCTCCGGGCGCGCGCCCGCTCGCGCCCCGTACCCGCGCGGGCCCGCTGCCCCGGCCTTTGCCCCGCGCGTCCCCGCGTGCTTGCCCTTGTCGGGCGGGCCGCGGCTGGGGGCCGGCGCTGCGCCCCGGTCGGCTGTGGCCCGGTGCCGCGCCGGTCCGCCGCTCGCCTCGGGGCGTGGCCCCGCGTGGCTTGGGGGGGCGGCCCCCGCCCGGGCTCTCGCTCCGCCCGCGGCCCGCCGTCTCCTTGCTTGTGGTCGGCCGCGCGCGCCTCTGGCGTGCTTCGGCCTCTGCGCGCTCCGGCCGCTGGCCTGTGGGCTCCCCCTTCGCCCCGTCTTGCCCCCCGGCCCCCGGCGTCTGCCCTGTGTGCGCGTCCCCGGGCGCGTCCCCCCGTCCGGCGTCCGGCCGCTGCTTGGTGGGCTCCCCCTGCGGGGTGCCCCGCCGCCCGCCCTTGCTCTTCTGCGCCGGGTTCGCGTGTGCGCCTCCCTGTCGGGCCCCGCCCGCTGGTGCCCTCTGCCTGCGCGGGGCGCCGCCCGCGGCCCTCTGGTGGCGGCCCGCCGCGCTCCTGCCGTGCCCCTCGTTCGTCTGCCTTGGGTCTCGGGGCGCCCGCCTCCTCGCCCCGTCTCGTCGCTGGTTCCCTCCGCCGTTTCCCTCCGGCTCGCTGGCGCTCGCGTGCGCGTTCTCTCGGGTCCCGCCCCTGCTTCGCGGCCTCGGGGGCGCCCCGCCCTCGCCCTCTTCTCCCCCTTTCCCTCGGTCGGCCGGCGCGGCTGCTTTGTTGCGCCGCGCCCCGGCCTCCCGCGCTCCCCGTGGGCCCTTTTTGGTCCGCCGCCCTGGCGCTGCGGGCTGCCCCGGCGCCGGGTTCCGGTGCCCCCTGCGCGCTCCCCTCGCTCCCCCCGGGTGTTGGTCGCTTCCGCCCGCCGGCCGGTGGTCCTGGCCGTCGCCTCCGCTCCGGCGTGTGTCCCCTCCCCTGCCGCCTCCCTCGCCCCGCCCCTGGCTGGCGCTTCCGCGCGCGCCCTCCCCCCGGCCGTCGGGGCCCGTGCCCGGCCCCGCTGCGTCGGCGGGCGCGGCGGTCGCTGCCCCCTTGGGCGTGCGCCTGGGCGGCGCGGCCGTCGGTGCCGCTCTTGGTGGTCGTCGCCCTCTTCCCTGCGCCTTTGCCGGCCGCCGCGGGGCCCGGTTCCCTGTGCCGGCCCTTGCCCCTGGGTTCGTCGCTCCTCCGGGTCGGGGGCCCCCGCCCGCTCGCGCGTTTCGCGCGTCCTCCGCCGGGCCTCGGGTTCCCCTTCCTGCCCCGGGCCGTGGCGGTTGCCGGCCCCGTTCGGCCGTCCGGCGCCGTCGGCGGGCGCCTCGGGCCGCGTTCTCTTTTCTGTTTCCCCGCTGCCCCCCCTGGCCTCGGCTCCGCCGGCGGTCGGGTCCCGCGGCTGGCCGCGCCCCGCCCGTCGCGTGGTGTCCGGTGCGCTCCCGGCGGCCCTTGCCCTCCGGCGGCCCGCCTGCCGTCCCCGCCCGGTCGTCCTCCTCCCGCCTCCGGTCTCCCCGGTGCCCCGCCTCTGGTCGCTGGCCCCCTGTCGGCCCGGGCCGTCGGCCCCTGGCTCCGTCCTTCGGGCCCCGGCTTGGCTCTGCGGGCTGGGCCCGGGGGTCCCCGTCCCGCCCCCGTCGGCTGTCGGTGGCCTGCTCGCGCTGCTCCGCGGCGCGCGCGGGTCGCCGCGTGCCGGCCGGGGGCCGGCCTGGGCCGGTTCCTTCGGGGGCCTTCCCGGGCGTCGCCCGCCCCCTCCGCCCTGGTCCGGCCCGGGGCCTCCGCCTGTTTCCTTCCCCCCGCCTTGCGCTGGTCCCCCCGGCTGTTTCCGCCCTGTGCTTTCTGCCCGTGCTCTGCCTGTCCCCGTGCCGCCCTTCCCCCCCGCGCGGGTCCCCGGCGGGCGTCCCTCTGCCTCTCTTCCGGTCGCCCCCTGCCTCGTCCTCTCCTTCGTGCCGCGCCTGCCTGGCTTCCCGCGCTTCCCCCTGTCCCTGTCTCCTCTCCCGCGCCCCCCCCGCCCCGGGCCCGGGCTTGGCCGCCTCCGCGGGGCCCGCAGCCCCTGTTGCGCTTGCCTCTCGTCCGCCTTTGTGCCCTGCCTTGCGCGGTGTCGTCTCCGTGGGCGCCGCCCGGCGCCCGTGCCCTCCCCCTCCTTTTCCCGTTCTTTTCCTTCTTCCGTGCCTCGGCCGCGGGGCCCTGCCCCTCTTTTTGGCCCCCCGGCTCGCTTCGCGGGCCGCTCCGGGCGGCCGCCCTTGTCCGGTGGGGCGTTTGGCTGGGGCGGCCCCTCTGTTCCCCGCTCCCGCCGGTGTCCTCCGCTGCGCTCCCCGCGCCCGCCCTCTCGTGTGGCCCCGCCGGGTCCCCGCTCGTTTGCTTCTGCTTTCCCGTCCGCCTCCGCCCCGTGCCCGCGTGGCCTCCCGCTCCTTTCGCCCTTCGGCCTTCGCCGCTCGCGGTGTCCGCCCCGTTCCCCCCGGGCTCCCTGGCTTGTGGCCGCCCCGCGTTCCTCGCGCCGTTGCTTTTTGCTCCTTCGCTGTCGGCTCTTCCTCTCCTTGTGCCGCCGCCTTCCCCCCGTGTTGGCTTGTTCCCCCCCCTCGGGCCGTGCGCTGGGTTTCGCCCGTCGTGCGCCCGGTTCGTTTTCCCCTCCTGCTGCCCGTGTCGCCCTCGTCTTCCCCCTCGTCCGCGCGGCCCCGTTGCTTCCCCCATTGGTCCTCGCGCTTGGTTGCCCCGCCGTGGCGCGCCGCTCCCGTGTGCTGGTTCTGCCTGCCCGCCTCTCCGTCCGCCTCCGGGCTCGCCGCGCCGCCTGCGCCCGCCGTCCGCTTGCCGCCCCGCCGTCGGGGCCTTTGGCCCCCCCGGGCCCGTGTCGTTGGCTCCGTCGCCGCGCCGGCCGCGTCGCGGTGCCCGCTTGCCGTCCCCTTTCCCTCGCGCGGCGGGTCGCCTCCTTTGCCGCCGCCTTCCTCCGCGCCGGGGTCTTGTCGTGGCCGCGTGGCCTTGCTGCCCCGCTCCCCTGCGCTTCCGCCCTTTGTCGCTCCGCTTCGTCCCCCCCTTTCCCCTCCCCCCCCTCCCTCCCCTCCTTTCTCCCTTTCCCCCGGGCGGTTTCTGTCTTGCTTGCCTCCTTGGCGGCCCCCTTCCCCCCGTGTTGCCCCTCGTGCCGCTCCTCCCTGTTGCGTGCCTTTCCTCGTTTGCCGCCCCGTGTTGCCCTCTCTGTGCCCTCTCTGTTTCTGCTGCTCCCCCCGTTGTTCCCTCCCGCTGCTCCCTTGTGCGGTTTTTCGTGCCGTCGCGTTCCTTTCTCCTGCCTCCTGCTCGTTCCGGGCCCCCTCCGCTGTCGCTCTCCGCGGTTTTTTGGGCTGTCGGGTGCGCTTCTCCCGCCCCGTCCGCTGCCCCGGGGCCTGTGGGTCTCTGTCGGCCGCCGGGGCGTTCCCCGTCCGGGGCCCGGCCGCCTCCGCCCGGCCTGCGCGCTCGGCCGTGGTCGGTGGGCCTCGGGCCCGCGCCGTCGGCCCCCGTCCGGCGGCCTCCGCCCGGCCTGCCCGCCTCGGCCGTGGCCCGTGCGCCTCGGGCCCGCGTCGTCGGCCCCCGCCGGGCCCCTCCGCCCCGGGTTGCCCGCCTCCCCCGTGGCCTGTGCCCCCTGCTCCGCCGCCGTCGGGCGTGGCTTGCCCGCCTTGCCCTTGGCTTGCCCCCCCGGTCCGCCGCCGTCGGCCGTGGCCTGCCCGCCTCTGGCGTGGCCTGCCCGCCTCGCCCTTGGCTTGCCCCCCCGCTCCGCCGCCGTCGGGCGTGGCCTGGCCGCCTTGCCCTTGGCTTGCCCCCCCGGTCCGCCGCCTTCGGCCGTGGCCTGCTCGCCTCGGGCGTGGCCTGCCGCCTCGCCCTTGTCTTGCCCCCTCGCTCCGTCGCCGTCCCGCGTGGTCTGCCCCCCTCGCCCTTGTCTTGCCCCCTCGCTCCGCCGCCGTCGGCCGTGGCCTGCCCCCCTCGCCCTTGTCTTGCCCCCATCGCTCCGTCGCCGTCGGCCGTGGCCTGCCCCCCTCGCCCTTGTCTTGCCCCCTCGCTCCGCCCCTGTCGGCCGTGGCCTGCCCCCTCGCTCCGTCGCCGTCGGGCGTGGCCTGCCCCCTCGCTCCGTCGCCGTCGGCCGTGGCCTGGCCGCCCCGCCCTTGGCCTGCCCCCCCGGTCCGCCCCCGTCGGTCGTGGCCTGCCCGCCTCGCCCTTGGCCTGCCCCCCGGTCCGCCCCCGTCGGCCGTGGCCTGGCCGCCTCGCCCTTGGCCTGCCCCCCCGGTCCGCCGCCGTCGGCCGTGGCCTGGCCGCCTCGCCCTTGGCCTGCCCCCCCGGTCCGCCGCCGTCGGCCGTGGCCTGGCCGCCTCGCCCTTGGCCTGCCCCCCCCGGTCCGCCGCCGTCGGCCGTGGCCTGCCCGCCTCGCCTTGGCCTGCCCCCCCGGTCCGCCGCCGTCGGCCGTGGCCTGCCCGCCTCGGCCGTGGCTTGCGCCCCTTGGTCGCCCCTTGCGGCTGTCCTGCCTTCCCCCTCCCCGCGCGTGCCCCCCCTTCCTGCCTCCCCTCTTTCCTCTTTTCCCTCTCTCTTCTCCCCGTTTCCGCCTCCCGCGGTTCGTTCGTCCCCCCCTTCCTTCTTTTTCCGGTTTCTTCTTTTTTCCGTCCCTTTTCCCCTGCCCTTTCTCCTTTTTCGCTCTCCGGTTCCTCTTTTTTTGTGCCTTTTTGGTGTTCCTTTTCTCTTTTTTTGCTCTTTTTCCTCTTCGTTCTTCTTTCTTCCTCCTCTTTCGGCCTTTCCGCCCCCCTCCCCTTCCCCCCTTGTTGCCCCTCTTTTTTTCTCTCTCTCCCGTCCTTTGTGGCCGCTCCTGTGTGTTTGTCCCTTCGCCCGTGCCTCTTTGGGTTGTCCCTTTTCCTTCTGCTTCTCTGGCCCCTCTTGTCTCCTCCTGTCCCTGGGTTTTTTTTTTTTTCCGCCTCTCTCGGGGGGTGCGGTGTTGGCGGCCGCCTGCGGCGCCGGCCGGCGGCTGTCCTGGGCGTTCTGTGGGCTTCGTGGGCGTGTTGCGTGGGCTTCGTGGGCGTGTTGCGTGGGCGTTTGCTGGCTGCCTGGCTTGTCCGTGCTCCGTCGTCGGGCGCTTCCCCCCTGTCGCCGCCCGCCTCCCCCCTGCCGCCGCCGCTCGTGGGGCGCCCTGTGCCGCCGCGGGCTTTTTCTCGCCCGGGCTCGCCGCGTTTGGTGTGGCCGGCCGTGCTTGTTTTCGGGCGCGTGGCCCGTTTGCTGGCCTGCGCGGCTCGTCCGTGCTCCGTCGTCGGCGGCGCTGCCCGCCCGCGGCCCGCCCGGCCCGTCCGGCTGGCGCTCTCGCTGGCCGGGCGTGGGGGGTGCTCGTGCCGCCTTTCGTCTGCCTCCCCCCTTTCCGTGCTTCCTTCTCCCCCCTTGGGCGGCGCGCCCCGGCGGGGCTCGCCTTGGCCTTGCCCGCCGGCCTCGGCGTCGGCGCCCGCCCTCTCCTGTCGGGCGTCGGGGTGGGTGTTGGGCGTGCCTCGCCGCCGCTCTTCCGTCCGGCGCCTGCGTGGTCCTCGGCTTGTGTGGTTCGGTTGGCTCCCTGCTTCGCGCCGCGCCGTCCTCCCCGCCTGCCCTGTCGGTCGCGGCTCCCGCGCCTCTCGGCTTGTCGGCCGTTGGTCTCCTGTGCTGCCTCCCTCTGCTCGGCTTCTCCCGTGCCTCGGTCGCCTTTCGCCCTCGCCTTCCCTGTGCGGGGTGCCCCCCGCCGCTCTTGCGTCCCCCGCCTTCCTCGCTTCGTCGTGCGCTGGCGTGGTCCGCGCGCGGCGGCTGGCCTTCTCGGCTTCGGTCGCCGCCGTGGGCCTGGGGCCTTCCCCGGCTCCTCTCTGCCCCCCGCCTGCTCCTTGCGCCTGCCGGCCGCGCCCGCCTTGCCCCTCCGTGCCCGTCGGGCGCGGCGGGCTCCTGCGGCGCGCGGCGTCGTTGCGGCCTGCTCCTGGTTGCTCCTGCCCGTCGTCCTCTGCTTGTCTCCCGCTTCGCCCTGCCTGTGTCCGTCTGCCCCTTCCGCCTGTGCCCTGCGCCTGGCTCCTTCCTCCGTTCTCGTTTGTTTGCTGGTCTCTCCTCCTCGGCTCCCGTCGTCTTCTCGCGCTCCTCCGTGCCCCCCCCCGCCTTCTGGCCGGGCTGCCTTTCTTCGCTCCCGGTCGCCGCGGGCTCTGCCCGTTGCTGCGCTGCTTCCTGCTCCTCGCCGGCTCGCCCGGCCCTCGTGCCGGCGCCGCCTCCTTCCCTTTCTGCCCTCTCCCCTTTCGCTGGTCGGCTCGTGGCCTCCCCTGGTGGTGCGGGTGCCGGCGCCTTCGGGTTCGCTTCCGGCGCGGGCGCCTGCGCCCGGCTCCCCCTCCCCGGCCGGCCGCCGGCGCGCCCTTCCCCTCCTGCCCCGGGGCGGTCGTGCCCTCCTCCCCTCCGGGCTCTCTGCGTCTGGTCCTTGGCCTGCGTCCCTCTCCTCCCTTCCCGCGGCTCCCTTGGCGGGCCCGTCTGGTGCCCGCCGCCGCGGTCCTTCCCGCTCCCTCGCGTCTCTTTCCGTTGTTGCCGTTCCCCGCTCGTCGTTGGCCTTTGGGCTGGGCCGGCCGGTCCGCCCTCGGTGTGCCCCGGTCGTCTCGTCCCTTCTGTCGGCGCTGCGCTCCTGGCCTTCCTTGGCCGGGTCGTGCCTCCGGCGCTGTTCCTTTGCCGCCTTCGCGTGCTCCCCGCCCGCCTCCGCTCTGTCTCCCTTCGCCTGGGCTCCCTTCTCGGCTTTCGGTCCTCTTCCGTTGGCCTTCGGGCTCGGCGTCCTGCTTCCCCGGGCCCGTCGGGGGCCTTCGTCTTTCCTCGTCCGCGGTGCCCTTCTTGGCTTTCTGCCCGCCGCCCCCTGCGCCGCCTTTGCCCCGGCTGTTTTCCTTCCTCCCGCCCGCCCGTTGGGGGCTCGCCGCCGCTCCGCTCCCGTCCTCGTCTCCCCCCTCCCGCTGCCGCCCCGGGCTCGGCGGCTGTTGCTTTTCGGCCTCCGCCGGCCCTTCTGCGCCTCCCCGTTTTTGGGTTCCGGGGGGCGTCTGGTCGCCCGGCTGCCCCTTCCCGGCCTTGCCGGCCGGGCCCCCCCGGCGTGGCGCCTGCGGCTTCCTTTGCCTCCCCCGGGGCCCCTTCCCCGGTCCCGCCCTCGTCCGGCTTGCCCGCCTGCGCGCTCTTTCTTGCTTCTCTGGGTGGTGGTGCCTGGCCGTTCTTCGTTGGTGGCGCGCTTTGTCTGGTTCCTTCCGTTCCCGCCCGCGCCCTCCGCCTGCTCCCTCGCTCTGCGGCGGTCTCCCTTCGCGGCCCGCTTCTTCGCGGGCCTCCGGCCTTTTCGGCCGCGGCCGTTTGCGGCCTCCCGGTCTGTGCTGCCCTTCGCTGTTCTGGGCCGCCCGCGCGCTCCCCTGCTGTCTTCCCCGCGCTTCTCGCCTTGGCCGCCCGGCCCGGGTCCTCTTTGCCCTTTCCTCGTGCTGGGGCTCGCTCCTTGCCCTTGTTGGTCTTCCCCGCGGCCTTCCTCGTCCGCGCGCGTCCTCCGCTCGCGTTGCCTCCGTCCCTGCCCTTTGTCCCCCCGCCCGTCGCTCCTCCCGCTTGCCTGCTCCGGTGCCTGTTCGGCTCGCGGCGCCGTGGGCGGTTCGCTGCCCGCGCCGTCGCGCGCCGTCCCTTGCCCCTTCTCCTTTCGCGGCCGGCGCCGTCGTCCCCGGTTTCCGTCGGTGCCCCTGCGGCCGGCTCCTTGTCGCCCCCTGCCCCGCCGCCCGCCCCGCGCCCCGTTTTCCCCCCTTGGGGGCGCCGCGCGCTCGTCGTGCGCCTCCCTCCCGTCCCCGCCCTGCGCGCTTGCGCGCTCGTTTTGGGGGCCCCCGCCCCCCGGCGCGGCCCGCGCCCCGGCCTCCTCCCTCGGCCGCCCTCCCCTCGCGCCCCGTTCGCGGCTCGTGCGGGGGGCCGCGCGCTGCTCTTTCCCCCCCCGCCTCTCGGCCCCGGCTCTCTCGGCTCTCGCCTCGCTGCCGCCCGTCGCGCCCTGCGCTCCTTGGTGTGCCTTGCCGCCTCCCGTGCCCCCTCGCGTCTTTGCCCGCCCGTTGCGCCCGCCGCCCTTCGGCCGCGGGCCCGTCTGCCTGGGCGTCCCGCCTCGCGTCGCCCCCGCCCGCCGCCCGGCTCCGCGCGGGGCGGCCGCTGGCCTCCCGTGCGCCCCGCGCGCGCGGCTGGCCTCCCTGCGCGTCCCCGTCGCCGGCCGTCGCGGCCCGTGGTGGTTGCCCCTCCCCTCTCTCTTGTTGTCGCGGCTCCCGCCCGTCGTGCGTCCGGCCTCCCCGCCCCTGCTTGCGCCTGCGCGCTCCGCCCGCGCCCCCCGGTCCGGCGGGCTTCCCCGCTGCGTTTCCGCCTCTCCTCCGCGGCGGCCCGCCCTTCCCCGGCTTCCCTTCGTCCCGGCGCGCGCCCCGGGCCCCGCCCCGCCTTCGCCTCGGGCGGCTCCGTCGTCCGCCTTGTCGTCTGGCGCCGCGTCCTCCGCGGCGGCCCGGGCCCCCGTCCCTGGCCGGGGGCGCCCGCGCGGGTGCGCGCCCCGTTGTGCCCGGCCCCTGTCGCCCCCCGCGGCGCTGTCTCCGCGTCGGGTTGTTTGGGCCTGCCGCCCCCCTCGGGCGGTGCCTTCCGTCCCCGGCTCCTCGGGCGCGCGCCCGCTCGCGCCCCGTCCCGCGCGGGCCCGCTGCCCCGGCCTTTGCCCCGCGCGTCCCGCGTGCTTGCCCTTGTCGGGCGGGCCGCGGCTGGGGGCCGGCGCTGCGCCCCGGTCGGCTGTGGCCCGGTGCCGCGCCGGTCCGCCGCTCGCCTCGGGGCGTGGCCCCGCGTGGCTTGGGGGGGCGGCCCCCGCCCGGGCTCTCGCTCCGCCCGCGGCCCGCCGTCTCCTTGCTTGTGGTCGGCCGCGCGCGCCTCTGGCGTGCTTCGGCCTCTGCGCGCTCCGGCCGCTGGCCTGTGGGCTCCCCTTCGCCCCGTCTTGCCCCCCGGCCCCCGGCGTCTGCCCTGTGTGCGCGTCCCCGGGCGCGTCCCCCGTCCGGCGTCCGGCCGCTGCTTGGTGGGCTCCCCCTGCGGGGTGCCCCGCCGCCCGCCCTTGCTCTTCTGCGCCGGGTTCGCGTGTGCGCCTCCCTGTCGGGCCCCGCCCGCTGGTGCCCTCTGCCTGCGCGGGGCGCCGCCCGCGGCCCCTCTGGTGGCGGCCCGCCGCGCTCCTGCCGTGCCCTCGTTCGTCTGCCTTGGGTCTCGGGGCGCCCGCCTCCTCGCCCCGTCTCGTCGCTGGTTCCCTCCGCCGTTTCCCTCCGGCTCGCTGGCGCTCGCGTGCGCGTTCTCTCGGGTCCGCCCCTGCTTCGCGGCCTCGGGGGCGCCCCGCCCTCGCCCTCTTCTCCCCCTTTCCCTCGGTCGGCCGGCGCGGCTGCTTTGTTGCGCCGCGCCCCGGCCTCCCGCGCTCCCCGTGGGCCCTTTTTGGTCCGCCGCCCTGGCGCTGCGGGCTGCCCCGGCCGCCGGGTTCCGGTGCCCCCTGCGCGCTCCCCTCGCTCCCCCCGGGTGTTGGTCGCTTCCGCCCGCCGGCCGGTGGTCCTGGCCGTCGCCCTCCGCTCCGGCGTGTGTCCCCCTCCCCTGCCGCCTCCCCTCGCCCCGCCCTGGCTGGCGCTTCCGCGCGCGCCCTCCCCCCGGCCGTCGGGGCCCGTGCCCGGCCCCGCTGCGTCGGCGGGCGCGGCGGTCGCTGCCCCCCTTGGGCGTGCGCCTGGGCGGCGCGGCCGTCGGTGCCGCTCTTGGTGGTCGTCGCCCCTCTTCCCCTGCGCCCTTTGCCGGCCGCCGCGGGGCCCGGTTCCCTGTGCCCGGCCCTTGCCCCTGGGTTCGTCGCTCCTCCGGGTCGGGGGCCCCCGCCCGCTCGCGCGTTTCGCGCGTCCTCCGCCCGGGCCTCGGGTTCCCCTTCCTGCCCCGGGCCGTGGCGGTTGCCGGCCCCGTTCGGCCGTCCGGCGCCGTCGGCGGGCGCCTCGGGCCGCGTTCTCTTTTCTGTTTCCCCGCCTGCCCCCCTGGCTCGGCTCCGCCGGCGGTCGGGTCCCGCGGCTGGCCGCGCCCCGCCCGTCGCGTGGTGTCCGGTGCGCTCCCGGCGGCCCTTGCCCTCCGGCGGCCCGCCTGCCGTCCCCGCCCGGTCGTCCTCCTCCCGCCTCCGGTCTCCCCGGTGCCCGCCTCTGGTCGCTGGCCCCTGTCGGCCGGGCCGTCGGCCCCCTGGCTCCGTCCCTTCGGGCCCCGGCTTGGCTCTGCGGGCTGGGCCCGGGGGTCCCCGTCCCGCCCCCGTCGGCTGTCGGTGGCCTGCTCGCGCTGCTCCCGCGGCGCGCGCGGGTCGCCGCGTGCCGGCCGGGGGCCGGCCTGGGCCCGGTTCCTTCGGGGGCCTTCCCCGGGCGTCGCCCCGCCCCCTCCGCCCTGGTCCGGCCCGGGGCCTCCGCCTGTTTCCTTCCCCCCGCCTTGCGCTGGTCCCCCCGGCTGTTTCCGCCCTGTGCTTTCTGCCCCGTGCTCTGCCTGTCCCGTGCCGCCCTTCCCCCCGCGCGGGTCCCCGGCGGGCGTCCCTCTGCCTCTCTTCCGGTCGCCCCCTGCCTCGTCCTCTCCTTCGTGCCGCGCCTGCCTGGCTTCCCGCGCTTCCCCCTGTCCCTGTCTCCTCTCCCGCGCCCCCCCGCCCCGGGCCCGGGCTTGGCCGCCTCCGCGGGGCCCGCCGCCCCTGTTGCGCTTGCCTCTCGTCCGCCTTTGTGCCCTGCCTTGCGCGGTGTCGTCTCCGTGGGCGCCGCCCGGCGCCCGTGCCCTCCCCCTCCTTTTCCCGTTCTTTTCCTTCTTCCGTGCCTCGGCCGCGGGGCCCTGCCCCTCTTTTTGGCCCCCCGGCTCGCTTCGCGGGCCGCTCCGGGCGGCCGCCCTTGTCCGGTGGGGCGTTTGGCTGGGGCGGCCCCTCTGTTCCCCGCTCCCGCCGGTGTCCTCCGCTGCGCTCCCCGCGCCCGCCCTCTCGTGTGGCCCCGCCGGGTCCCCGCTCGTTTGCTTCTGCTTTCCCGTCCGCCTCCGCCCCGTGCCCGCGTGGCCTCCCGCTCCTTTCGCCCTTCGGCCTTCGCCGCTCGCGGTGTCCGCCCCGTTCCCCCGGGCTCCCTGGCTTGTGGCCGCCCCGCGTTCCTCGCGCCGTTGCTTTTTGCTCCTTCGCTGTCGGCTCTTCCTCTCCTTGTGCCGCCGCCTTCCCCCCGTGTTGGCTTGTTCCCCCCCCCTCGGGCCCGTGCGCTGGGTTTCGCCCGTCGTGCGCCCGGTTCGTTTTCCCCTCCTGCTGCCCGTGTCGCCCTCGTCCTTCCCCCTCGTCCGCGCGGCCCCGTTGCTTCCCCCCTTGGTCCTCGCGCTTGGTTGCCCCGCCCGTGGCGCGCCGCTCCCGTGTGCTGGCTTCTGCCTGCCCGCCTCTCCGTCCGCCTCCGGGCTCGCCGCGCCGCCTGCGCCCGCCGTCCGCTTGCCGCCCCGCCGTCGGGGCCTTTGGCCCCCCGGGCCCGTGTCGTTGGCTCCGTCGCCGCGCCGGCCGCGTCGCGGTGCCCGCCTTGCCGTCCCCTTTCCCTCGCGCGGCGGGTCGCCTCCTTTGCCGCCGCCTTCCCTCCGCGCCGGGGTCTTGTCCGTGGCCGCGTGGCCTTGCTGCCCCGCTCCCCTGCGCTTCCGCCCTTTGTCGCTCCGCTTCGTCCCCCCCCTTTCCCCCTCCCCCCCTCCCCTCCCTCCTTTCTCCCTTTCCCCCCGGGCGGTTTCTGTCTTGCTTGCCTCCTTGGCCGGCCCCTTCCCCCCGTGTTGCCCCTCCGTGCCGCTCCTCCCTGTTGCGTGCCCTTTCCTCGTTTGCCGCCCCGTGTTGCCCTCTCTGTGCCCTCTCTGTTCTCTGCTGCTCCCCCGTTGTTCCCTCCCGCTGCTCCCTTGTGCGGTTTTTCGTGCCGTCGCGTTCCTTTCTCCTGCCTCCTGCTCCGTTCCGGGCCCCTCCCGCTGTCGCTCTCCGCGGTTTTTTGGGCTGTCGGGTGCGCTTCTCCCGCCCCGTCCGCTGCCCCGGGGCCTGTGGGTCTCTGTCGGCCGCCGGGGCGTTCCCCGTCCGGGGCCCGGCCGCCTCCGCCCCGGCCTGCGCGCCTCGGCCGTGGTCGGTGGGCCTCGGGCCCGCGCCGTCGGCCCCCGTCCGGCGGCCTCCGCCCCGGCCTGCCCGCCTCGGCCGTGGCCCGTGCGCCTCGGGCCCGCGTCGTCGGCCCCCGCCGGGCCCCCTCCGCCCCGGGTTGCCCGCCTCCCCGTGGCCTGTGCCCCCTGCTCCGCCGCCGTCGGGCGTGGCTTGCCCGCCTTGCCCTTGGCTTGCCCCCCCCGGTCCGCCGCCGTCGGCCGTGGCCTGCCCGCCTCTGGCGTGGCCTGCCCGCCTCGCCCTTGGCTTGCCCCCCCGCTCCGCCGCCGTCGGGCGTGGCCTGGCCGCCTTGCCCTTGGCTTGCCCCCCCGGTCCGCCGCCTTCGGCCGTGGCCTGCTCGCCTCGGGCGTGGCCTGCCCGCCTCGCCCTTGTCTTGCCCCCTCGCTCCGTCGCCGTCCCGCGTGGTCTGCCCCCCTCGCCCTTGTCTTGCCCCCCTCGCTCCGCCGCCGTCGGCCGTGGCCTGCCCCCCTCGCCCTTGTCTTGCCCCCCTCGCTCCGTCGCCGTCGGCCGTGGCCTGCCCCCCTCGCCCTTGTCTTGCCCCCTCGCTCCGCCCTGTCGGCCGTGGCCTGCCCCCCTCGCTCCGTCGCCGTCGGGCGTGGCCTGCCCCCTCGCTCCGTCGCCGTCGGCCGTGGCCTGGCCGCCCCGCCCTTGGCCTGCCCCCCCGGTCCGCCCCCGTCGGTCGTGGCCTGCCCGCCTCGCCCTTGGCCTGCCCCCCCGGTCCGCCCCCGTCGGCCGTGGCCTGGCCGCCTCGCCCTTGGCCTGCCCCCCCGGTCCGCCGCCGTCGGCCGTGGCCTGGCCGCCTCGCCCTTGGCCTGCCCCCCCGGTCCGCCGCCGTCGGCCGTGGCCTGGCCGCCTCGCCCTTGGCCTGCCCCCCCGGTCCGCCGCCGTCGGCCGTGGCCTGCCCGCCTCGCCCTTGGCCTGCCCCCCCGGTCCGCCGCCGTCGGCCGTGGCCTGCCCGCCTCGGCCGTGGCTTGCGCCCCTTGGTCGCCCCCTTGCGGCTGTCCCTGCCTTCCCCCCTCCCCCGCGCGTGCCCCCCCTTCCTGCCTCCCCTCTCTTCCTCTCTTTTCCCTCCTCTCTTCTCCCCGTTTCCGCCTCCCGCGGTTCGTTCGTCCCCCCTTCCTTCTTTTTCCGGTTTCTTCTTTTTTCCGTCCCTTTTCCCCTGCCCCTTTCCTCCCTTTTTCGCTCTCCGGTTCCTCTCTTTCTTTGTGCCTTTTTGGTGTTCCTTTTCTCTTTTTTTGCTCTTTTTCCTCTTCGTTCTTCCTTTCTTCCTCCTCTTTCGGCCCTTTCCGCCCCCCTCCCCTTCCCCCCTTGTTGCCCCCTCTTTTTTTCTCTCTCTCCCGTCCTTTGTGGCCGCTCCTGTGTGTTTGTCCTTCGCCCGTGCCTCTTTGGGTTGTCCCTTTTCCTTCTGCTTCTCTGGCCCCTCTTGTCTCCTCCTGTCCCCTGGGTTTTTTTTTTTTCCGCCTCTCTCCGGGGGGTCGCGGTGTTGGCGGCCGCCTGCGGCGCCGGCCGGCGGCTGTCCTGGGCGTTCTGTGGGCTTCGTGGGCGTGTTGCGTGGGCTTCGTGGGCGTGTTGCGTGGGCGTTTGCTGGCCTGCCTGGCTTGTCCGTGCTCCGTCGTCGGGCGCTTCCCCCCCTGTCGCCGCCCGCCTCCCCCCCTGCCGCCGCCCGCTCGTGGGGCGCCCCTGTGCCGCCGCGGGCCTTTTTCTCGCCCGGGCTCGCCGCGTTTGGTGTGGCCCGGCCGTGCTTGTTTTCGGGCGCGTGGCCCGTTTGCTGGCCTGCGCGGCTCGTCCGTGCTCCGTCGTCGGCGGCGCTGCCCGCCCGCGGCCCGCCCGGCCCGTCCGGCTGGCCGCTCTCGCTGGCCCGGGCGTGGGGGGTGCTCGTGCCCGCCCTTTCGTCTGCCTCCCCCCCTTTCCCGTGCTTCCCTTCTCCCCCCCTTGGGCGGCGCGCCCCGGCGGGGCTCGCCTTGGCCTTGCCCCGCCGGCCTCGGCGTCGGCGCCCGCCCTCTCCTGTCGGGCGTCGGGGTGGGTGTTGGGCGTGCCTCGCCGCCGCTCTTCCCGTCCGGCGCCTGCGTGGTCCTCGGCTTGTGTGGTTCGGTTGGCTCCCTGCTTCGCGCCGCGCCGTCCTCCCCCGCCTGCCCTGTCGGTCGCGGCTCCCGCGCCCTCTCGGCTTGTCGGCCGTTGGTCTCCTGTGCTGCCTCCCTCCTGCCTCGGCCTTCCTCCCGTGCCCTCGGTCGCCTTTCGCCCCTCGCCTTCCCTGTGCGGGGTGCCCCCCCCGCCGCTCTTGCGTCCCCCGCCTTCCTCGCTTCGTCGTGCGCTGGCGTGGTCCGCGCGCGGCGGCTGGCCTTCTCGGCTTCGGTCGCCGCCGTGGGCCTGGGGCCTTCCCCGGCTCCTCTCTGCCCCCCCGCCTGCTCCTTGCGCCTGCCGGCCGCGCCCGCCTTGCCCCCTCCGTGCCCGTCCGGGCGCGGCGGGCTCCTGCGGCGCGCGGCGTCGTTGCGGCCTGCTCCCTGGTTGCTCCTGCCCGTCGTCCTCTGCTTGTCTCCCCGCTTCCGCCCTGCCTGTGTCCGTCTGCCCCCTTCCGCCTGTGCCCCTGCGCCTGGCTCCTTCCCTCCGTTCTCGTTTGTTTGCTGGTCTCTCCTCCTCGGCTCCCCGTCGTCTTCTCGCGCTCCTCCGTGCCCCCCCCCCGCCTTCTGGCCGGGCTGCCTTTCTTCGCTCCCGGTCGCCGCGGGCTCTGCCCGTTGCTGCGCTGCTTCCTGCTCCTCGCCGGCTCGCCCGGCCCTCGTGCCGGCGCCGCCTCCTTCCCCTTTCTGCCCTCTCCCCTTTCGCTGGTCGGCTCGTGGCCTCCCCTGGTGGTGCCGGGTGCCGGCGCCTTCGGGTTCGCTTCCGGCGCGGGCGCCTGCGCCCCGGCTCCCCCTCCCCGGCCGGCCGCCGGCGCGCCCCTTCCCCCCTCCTGCCCCGGGGCGGTCGTGCCCTCCTCCCTCCCGGGCTCTCTGCGTCTGGTCCTTGGCCTGCGTCCCCTCTCCTCCCTTCCCGCGGCTCCCTTGGCGGGCCCGTCTGGTGCCCGCCGCCGCGGTCCTTCCCGCTCCCCTCGCGTCTCTTTCCGTTGTTGCCGTTCCCCGCTCGTCGTTGGCCTTTGGGCTGGGCCGGCCGGTCCGCCCTCGGTGTGCCCCGGTCGTCTCGTCCCTTCTGTCGGCGCTGCGCTCCTGGCCTTCCTTGGCCGGGTCGTGCCTCCGGCGCTGTTCCTTTGCCGCCCTTCGCGTGCTCCCCGCCCGCCTCCGCTCTGTCTCCCTTCGCCTGGGCTCCCTTCTCGGCTTTCGGTCCTCTTCGTTGGCCTTCGGGCTCGGCGTCTGCTTCCCGGGCCCGTCGGGGGCCTTCGTCTTTCCTCGTCCGCGGTGCCTTCTTGGCTTTCTGCCGCCGCCCCCCTGCGCCGCCTTTGCCCCGGCTGTTTTCCTTCTCCCGCCCGCCGTTGGGGGCTCGCCGCCGCTCCGCTCCCGTCCTCGTCTCCCCCTCCCGCTGCCGCCCCGGGCTCGGCGGCTGTTGCTTTTCGGCCTCCGCCGGCCCTTCTGCGCCTCCCGTTTTTGGGTTCCGGGGGGCGTCTGGTCGCCCGGCTGCCCTTCCGGCCTTGCCGGCCGGGCCCCCCCGGCGTGGCGCCTGCGGCTTCCTTTGCCTCCCCCGGGGCCCCTTCCCCGGTCCCGCCCTCGTCCGGCTTGCCCGCCTGCGCGCTCTTTCTTGCTTCTCTGGGTGGTGGTGCCTGGCCGTTCTTCGTTGGTGGCGCGCTTTGTCTGGTTCCTTCCGTTCCGCCCGCGCCCTCCGCCTGCTCCTCGCTCTGCGGCGGTCTCCCTTCGCGGCCCGCTTCTTCGCGGGCCTCCGGCCTTTTCGGCCGCGGCGTTTGCGGCCCTCCCGGTCTGTGCTGCCCTTCGCTGTTCTGGGCCGCCCGCGCGCTCCCTGCTGTCTTCCCGCGCTTCTCGCCTTGGCCGCCGGCCCGGGTCTCTTTGCCCTTTCCTCGTGCTGGGGCTCGCTCCTTGCCCTTGTTGGTCTTCCCCGCGGCTTCCTCGTCGCGCGCGTCCTCCGCTCGCGTTGCCTCCGTCCCTGCCCTTTGTCCCCCCGCCCGTCGCTCCTCCCGCTTGCCTGCTCCGGTGCCCTGTTCGGCTCGCGGCGCCGTGGGCGGTTCGCTGCCCGCGCGTCGCGCGCCGTCCCTTGCCCCTTCTCCTTTCGCGGCCGGCGCCGTCGTCCCCCGGTTTCCGTCGGTGCCCTGCGGCGGCTCCTTGTCGCCCCTGCCCCGCCGCCCGCCCCGCGCCCCGTTTTCCCCCCTTGGGGGCGCCGCGCGCTCGTCGTGCGCCTCCCTCCCGTCCCCGCCTGCGCGCTTGCGCGCTCGTTTTGGGGGCCCCGCCCCCGGCGCGGCCCGCGCCCCGGCCTCCTCCTCGGCCGCCCTCCCTCGCGCCCCGTTCGCGGCTCGTGCGGGGGGCCGCGCGCTGCTCTTTCCCCCCCGCCTCTCGGCCCCGGCTCTCTCGGCTCTCGCCTCGCTGCCGCCCGTCGCGCCTGCGCTCCTTGGTGTGCCTTGCCGCCTCCCGTGCCCCCTCGCGTCTTTGCCCGCCCGTTGCGCCCGCCGCCCTTCGGCCGCGGGCCCGTCTGCCTGGGCGTCCCGCCTCGCGTCGCCCCCCGCCCGCCGCCGGCTCCGCGCGGGGCGGCGCTGGCCTCCCCGTGCGCCCCGCGCGCGCGGCTGGCCTCCTGCGCGTCCCCGTCGCCGGCCGTCGCGGCCCGTGGTGGTTGCCCCTCCCCTCTCTCTTGTTGTCGCGGCTCCCGCCCGTCGTGCGTCCGGCCTCCCCGCCCTGCTTGCGCCTGCGCGCTCCGCCCGCGCCCCCCGGTCCGGCGGGCTTCCCGCTGCGTTTCCGCCTCTCCCTCCGCCGGCGGCCCGCCCCTTCCCCGGCTTCCCTTCGTCCCGGCGCGCGCCCGGGCCCGCCCCGCCTCGCCTCGGGCGGCTCCGTCGTCCGCCTTGTCCGTCTGGCGCCGCGTCCTCCGCGGCGGCCCGGGCCCCCGTCCCCTGGCCGGGGGCGCCCGCGCGGGTGCGCGCCCCGTTGTGCCCGGCCCCTGTCGCCCCCGCGGCGCTGTCTACGCGTCGGGTTGTTTGGGCCTGCCGCCCCCTCGGGCGGTGCCTTCCGTCCCGGCTCCCTCCGGGCGGCGCCCGCTCGCGCCCCGTCCCGCGCGGGCCCGCTGCCCCGGCCTTTGCCCGCGCGTCCCCGCGTGCTTGCCCTTGTCGGGCGGGCCGCGGCTGGGGGCCGGCGCTGCGCCCCGGTCGGCTGTGGCCCGGTGCCGCGCCGGTCCGCCGCTCGCCTCGGGGCGTGGCCCCGCGTGGCTTGGGGGGGCGGCCCCCGCCCGGGCTCTCGCTCCGCCCGCGGCGCGCGCTGCGCCCGCGCTCCCCGGCCTCGCCCGCGCGCGCGGCGTTCCCTCCCGGCGCCGGCGTTCCGCGGGCGTTCGGCCCGGGCTTTGGCCGCCCCCCCTCCCCGCTGGTCCCCGCCCGCGTCGCTCGGCGGCCCGGCTCGTCCCCGTTCCCCCTCCGCCCGGGGCGCCTCGCCGGCCCCCTCCGCTTCCCTCCCGCCCCTTTCCCGCCCTCTTTGCCTCTCTTTTCCCGTCCTTTTCCTCTTTCCCTCGCGGTCCTTGTTCGCTCTCGGTCTCTCGCCCGTCTTTCGCCTTGGCCGGCCTTCCCCGCCCGCTTTGGGCTGCCTTCCCCCCCCCGCCTCGTCGCCCGCGCCTCGTGGTGCGCCGGGTCCGGGCCCCCCGGGGCTCTCCCCTCTCTGGCGCCCCCCTTCCCGGGGCCTTGGGCCCGGTCCGCCGCTGCGGCCGCTTCTCCCGCCTCCCCTTCGGCCGCCGGCGCCGCCCGCTTCTCCGGCTGGGCTGTTCCCGGTTCGCTCGCCGTTCCTCCGGGCCTCCTTGTCCGTTTCTTTTCCTCCGCTTCTTGCTCTGCTTCCCCTCGCGGGTCCTCCCGCCTGCCCTGGGGTCGCGGTCGGCGCGCGCCGGCGCCCTCCGGGTCTGGGCGTCCGGCCGCCCGCCGGGCTGTCGCCGCGCCCCCCGCGCGCGTTGCGTTTCCCCCCCCCTTGCCGCGCCGTCCGTCGCCGTGGCCTCGCCTTTCGGCCCGCCGCGCTCGGGGCGCCCGGGCGGCCCGCTTCCGCCCCGCGCTGCGCCTTGCGGCTTGCGGGGGGCGCCGCGCTGCGTGCCGCCCCGGCCGCCGTGCCCTCGGCCTCCTGGCTTCGGGCGCCCCTTGCGTTCCCCGCCTCGCTGGTTCCCGGGCTTCTGCCCTTCCCCCCCGTCTCGCCTTTCGCTCCGTTCTTCCTCGCTGCGCGCGCCGCGCTCTCCGTTGCCGCGCGTCGTTTGTGTTTCCCGCGCCGCGCGCGTCCCCCGCCCGCTCCGCGCCCGGGGCGCGCGGGGCGGGCTGCCGCTTTTCGTCTTCCTTGGCGCTTTCCGCGCCGGGGTTCGTTGGCCCCCCCCGCGCGCGCCCGCGCGCCGGTCGGGGCCGGGCGGGCGGCGCCCGCCGCGCGCGCGTCGCCCCCCGTGTTTCCCCCG